GCATTTAAGTTAATTAATTTCGAAATATTATCGATATCCTCGATATTATAAAAAAAAGAAGATTCTAATAATAGACTTTTAGATTTCTAATATTACGTTAGTATTACTTTATATATATATAAAATATAGAGATAAGCGTATAATCTAAGGCGCTAATAGCTAGATTATTATATTATTAAATCTATATTTATAATACTTATTATCTAGAATAATTATTAAGATAATATTAGTTTTATATAGAATATATAATATATAAGCCTTCTTAATCGTCTCTCGAGCTCTCTTATATAATTTCTTCTTTCTTCGCCTCGCTTTATTATTAATAGTTATATTCTCTTAATTTTAATAAATAAATAATCGTTTAGCGGAGATTATCGATAGTATAAATATACTAATTTAGCGAACTTTTATAAATCTCGACGATTTTATTATAGCGTTATATATAATAAGATAAGAGTATAAAGAGAATAGTATTATAAGTAGCTATATTAAATAGCTTAGCTTATTTTAGAAATTATATTTAAATTAAGAATTTAGAATAGATCTTTAGTCTATTTTAGAGTATATAGTCTTTTAAAATCGATAGATAGTAGCGATAGCTTATTTATTATTAAAGTCTTTCTACTTTATTAATTAATGAAATTAGAATAGATGCTAGAGAGTAGAATAAAAGCGAATATTTAAGTTATAAATAAGTGTTCGAGTTAGAAGTAAATATATCGTAAGAGTAATAATTAAACGATAGTATAAACGTTAAAGATTAATTAAAAATGAATTATTCTAAATAAATGTATTTTCTTAAAGATATACTTAGAGTCTAAACTATATAGACTTAATTTACAACTTCTTTCTATAAGTTAAAGATAACGATATTTATTAGTATATCGTAATTATATTTATACTTAGATCGCTACGCTCGAATCTTAACCTTAACGTAAGTAAAGAGTTAAGATCTATAAGAGAATATCGATAGACGAATTATCTCCGACGAAAATGGCGTATTACTTAAGATAAGAAAATTCGAAAAGAGAAGAAGCTTCGCTATCGAAATTAGGCGAAGCGATATAAATCGCTTAACGAACTATTTGTCTTAAACTTGGAACTCTTAAAAGTATAAGATATAAAAGAATATATATTAAAGGTGTAGAGAATATTATTAGAAAAGCTCGCGATAGAAGAGAATCGCTTAAGGAGATTAATAGAGATTTTAAGCTAATCGATTATAGACTTTAACGAACGAGTTAAAGAGATATAAGAGATAATATAATCGATATAATATTAAGAACGTTAATTAAGCTTCGATTATAAGAGTAAAGTATAAGAAGAGGAAGATTATAGATATCGTGAAAGACTTTTCGAATAGATGAGTAATTTAGATCTTTAAGTATAACGCTGCGAGATCGTAGATTCTACGTTATCTTCTCTTAAAGGCTTTATATAAGTCTAATATTTAAAGCGGTGGGGTTAAACGGGCCGACGTATTATAGCACTCTAGATATTAGCTAGAGAGCTATTTCTTTAACGCTATAAATGAGATATTTTACTCGATTACTCGAGAAATATATATAGCGAGTTATAGACCCGATATATAGTATTAATAATAGTAGATATATTTAAAAGATAAATTATAGTAAAGAATATTGAAGAAATATAAATGAAACGTTCGCGATCTATATAATTTACTTCTTTTATATATAATCTTTCTTAGAGATATTATTATTAATAGCTCTTTTTTTTATATTTCTCTTTATTAATCTAGCGTTATCTTCTAATTTAAAAGTAGATATAGCGAGATATTAGTTAATATAAATTCTTTCTATAAGAAATATAAGAATAATATATAAGCTATAAGCTATAGTAGCTTTAAAGTATTCGATAGAATATAATAATTAGAGAGCTATATCGAGGAGATATCGTCTCTTACTTACGTACTTATTTACTATAAGCTTTATTAAAGAGAAAAGATAGAGATTAAAAGAATATTCTTCTATTAAAACTTAATTATCTCTATCGCGATAGATGAACTTAAATTGTTTTTAAGCGAGTTCGTTCTTTTCTATAGCTTCTATATATACTAAAGCTATTATCTAAAGAGAAGTTTTTTTAGATAAAGTTTATTTCTCGAGTAAGTCTTCTTTAAGCGGGATCTCGTCTAAATAATAACTTAACGAAATTATAGAAGGCGCTATAGAACCTTACTCTTCCTCGCCGTTATCCGTTATCGACTCATTTATATCGTTTATTAATTAAGATTCTTAATCTTCTCTAATACTTTATAAATAAAGTAGACTATTAAATAGATAGTTTATATCTCTTAGTTATTTTATATAATTTTGCCATTCGCTTATATCGCCTAAGTTAAAGTCTTTTTACTTCTTATTAATCTTCGCTTACCTCTAATCTTAATTCTTATACGTTTCTTTCGCGTTTAATTACTCTTAAAGTATATATCCTTAATCTATATATTTTAGCGTCGATTCTCGATCTTACTCTTAATTATTATTTTCTCTTTTCTAATTATTTATTTCGGGTTTCGAATAGGTTAATAACAATCGATTCGATAAAGAAGTTATTAACCGATATAATTCTTTTACTAAAGAGTTCGAAATAGTAGATTCGCTATTATAATTACTAAATACTCTTCTATTAAAATAAGTTAGATATATAAACTTTCTAACGAAAACGAGCTAAATATTACTCTCTTAACTTCTATCTATACTATATATATTATCGAGGAAAAGAAACTTTCTACTCTTCTCATAAGCTAGATTATATGAATATATATATCTTCTCTTTAAGTACTCTTTAGATTCATCGATTATAAAAGTAGGTTTTCGTAATTTAGTCTATAATCGTTTATTTATATAATTGAAATATTTCGCCTTTAACTCGCTAATCTTCGTCGATTCGAATTCTAGTCGCTTCGCTAAGTCGGCGAGTTTATATAATACGAATTTATTAAAGTTCTTAGTCGTTTAAATTATTCTCTCCGCCGGCTTAGGCTTTATCTTTATAAATTTTAATAATAGCTTACGGAGATATTATATAACGTAGAGAAATACTTATCGATAGTATAGAGCTACGCGGTTTTACGTGTTATAAAATCTATAAGTAAAGATTAATTCCGCTTTCTAGATAATACATTTATCTCTTTTTTAAGTTATCTCGAAGAAGCTATATACTATCGCCGTATATAATATTCTTCTAAAAAACATCGTTATTAAGCTCTTTACGCGATTAGCGTATACTTCGATATACTTAAAATTTTCGAAGAAAGTTTAAAGAGTAGAGATGAGATTCTCTTATATCTATAGTCTCGTCTAGATCTTTATACGACGGTTTATATTAAACGCGTTAAATATTTCCCTCGTTTTTAGCTAACGAAATAGAGTTATAGTATCGAATATCGATCTACTCGATACTTTAAGTTTTAACGCCTTTACGATAATGCGATTTATCTTCTATATATCGCGCTTATTATATCGAAATAAACCCGTCTAGAATACTTTTACGTAGTTAAGATAGTAAAATATCTTCTATCGCTTAATAATTAATAAGCTTGAAAGGTATATAAAAGATAACCTATCTCGTCGTATTTTAAATTTATTATATTTTTCGTTACGCTTAGCCGTATCTCGTTCGACTATAGACTCGAAATATCTAATAATATATTAAAGGTTGCTATAAAGTCGTTTCTTCGTAGTAATCTCTTTATTTCATATCGCTTATTCTTAATTAAGTATATTTATTATCGAGTCGCCGCGAGTAACTTAAGATAGTGTTGATAGATCTTATAATATATTTTATCGTCGCTAGATATTCTCTCGTTAGATAGTTACTCGATTAAGGAGATTCTTAGATTATCGCTTAAATCTAAGAGCGTTAGTAAGAGATATTCTACTTAGTCGAGATCGAGCTAGTTATATTAGCTAGATATAAATCTATAGTTTATTAAAGCTAAGAAGAAATTATCTCCCTTCTCGCGTAAATCTAATATTGATTATATAAATATTTAAGTTGAAAGTCTAAAGGAAATCGTAGTTCTAACGTTTTAGTCTACGTATTGCCGAGTAATAGGTCGAAAGCGATTCTTAAAGAATAAAGAGCGAGGTCTAATTACTCTCTATCGATTACGATAAATATATAATATCGACTATCTCGGTGAAAGTAGTCTTTCACTTCGAAAATTAACACTAAATTCTTCACGATAGATTTATTAAGTATTTTAGATTCGTTCTTTAAGAAAGTAAAGTACTTAAGTCTAATTCGTGCCGAGTCTTTATACTTAATACGCTTCTCTTATTTAAAAGTTTCTTTCTAATTCTATACTAAAGTACGCTATATTATAAGAGTATCGTTAAATAGTTAGTATTATAATTTTTATCTATAGAAGAGAAGCGTTAGCGTTAAGAGATTATTAATAATACTCTATAAGTAGAGCTAGCTAGAATAAAATTAAATAGAATCTAAAAAATAGATAGATTGTCGCGATTAACGATCTAGGATATTAGAAGTAAATATTATCTTAATCGTTAAATAGTACTTTTCTATACTTTAAATAGAATACTACGTTCTTCGATCTTTTATTCTATTTCGATTTTTATCTATATCCTTCCCTACGTACTTTTTATTCTTATCTTTCTTCTTTTTAATTATTCTTCGTTTAGTAATTATTAATGAGACTCTATTATATAATATCTTAAATAGCTTTTCTCTTCGATAAGCGATTTATAATAATTCGCTACCTAAATTCTAGAGTTAATTTACTATCTTTAAAGGATATATCGTCTATTAATGATAACCGCTTAATTTCTAGAAATATCTAAGATTCGTTAATCTCTAAGAATAAGATTACTGCTAACTCGAGAAGGAAAAAAAGATACTCCGATATAGAAGGCAATGAACGTTTTGATAAGTCTTTAGACGAAAAACGTTTAGCTTCTACGAGACCTAGCGTCGAGTACGATATTCGAAAGGTCGAGTCATCTCCTCGAAATGACCTATATCCTTCCAGCGAATGTACTTCTATCGGAGTAACGGCTAGAAAGGAGGGCGCTACTGGCAAGCTGAGAGAGAGAAGACACTCCGACGCTGATCTCCGTGAGGCCCGCATTTGGTGGATTCAAGTCTCGCTGTAGGCCTGCTTCGAAATGGTGGAATGCAGTCATAAGGCCGTCTTTCTGAACCCAGTTAAGGCCTTTGGTGATTCGCATGACGTCTTGAATGTAGGCCGTAGCATCTTTCTTTTCGGCCGCATCCTTTCTCGTATACTGACATGCCTCCAATTGAGTCATTAGCTCGGAATGAGTGGGGCTAAATCGTTCAATGAGCGCGGTGCACCATGGTTTAATTGAAAGATTCAAGTTGTAAACGCCTTTGGTGTTATCCAGTACTTCGTATTGGTACCAGTTGAAGGCCGTCAATTTCAACACTGAGACCAAATTTGTCTGCACCAATTTGACTCCTTTTTGCGACGCCGTGCTTCTCAGTCGATCAGTGAAGGCATATACATCACCGGTGCCGTCAAAGTAGCCTACTTCCTTAGGCCTCCATCGCTTATCTGCCTCGGGCGGAATGGTCTCAGGCTGGGGAGCTGTTTGCGGAGTTGGTGTAGGCGATCTGGATCTCGCTTCTAATGCTTCCATTCGTACGTTCATAGCATTCATCATTGCCGTCATCTGTGTATTCATTTGTGCCATTTGTGTTGAGAGTGCTGAGATTGCAGTGTTATCAGGCTGAGGAGGAGGAGCGGTTTGCTGAAGGCTCGTCTGGCCTCTCGTGTTTCCAGCCATGATGTATGGTGTATCGACAGGCCTATCGAAAGGATCGATTTGGTAGACAGTGTGTCAAAAGGTACTCGATGACGCGAGTGTATGTGAGGACCGGCTTGGAACGTTGCACTATTAGGATTTGGTGCAGGCTTTGCATGTAACTGGTGGAATTCCACTGGATCTCTATCGTCTTGATAGTAACCGTAGTGTTGCTGCCATTTATCACGGAATATCAATGATGTAAGTCATGAATATGGTATGTGGTAATAAATGTATATAGAAGGAAGAGTATCTACAGGAAGAATCCTCCTCATGAGGCCCCCAATGCCAAGGCGCGCTAGTGAATGGTATGTTCGGTATGTCCGGTGAAGGAATCCGTAACACTTAACTACACTATAAGATTATTTCTATTTAAGTGTCTTATTTATTAATATCTATAAATCTCTAAAAGTTATACTATCTAGATAAACTAGCGAAAGGGAATATTATTTCTAATTAGAGTTTAAAGTTATTTATTAAGAATAAGAAATATCGTAAGAGCTTTCTATTTAATTAAATGTACTTTATAAGACTAACGTTAACGTTATTAAAATAAAATATTAGGGCCTAAGTAAGGCGCGAGATATAATTAAATTACTATATATTTACTATAATATCGAACTCTATAGAGAGTATTTGTTACGGGGCAAGGTTCCCCTATATCAAAAGAGCGCCGAGCCCCCGCCAAGACGGGAATTCGTATCTAAATCACCACATATCCGTAACAATTGCACACTTCGAAAAATGGCGCATGCCCTCATGCGCTAGCCCGAGGCGCATTCAATGTAGGGGCCCCCCAGGGTGGAACACCCCGTAAGCTACTTCAAAGCCTGGTGGTCACGGGGGGAGTCTGTCACGGGGCAAGGTTCCCCTACACCAAAAGAGCGCCGAGCCCCCGCCAAGACGGGAATTCGTACCTAAATCACCACATATCCGTAATAGTATTTAAGTTAGATAGACGGTAGTAAGATTTAGCTTAAAGATACTAATAGCGTTAATCTATATATAGATTCACTACTAAAGAGATTTAGTATAAGCTAGGATAAGGTTTATAAGTATAGAAATAAGGTTCGTTAGGCTAGAGATAACTAGAGTAAATTATTATTATAGACTAAGTAAAAGAGATTAGTTAAAATAGGCTCTAGAACTAAAGTAAAAAGATACTAAGAGAACTTATTTATTTAAGTTAATACAAGTTTAGGCCCATGAAAAAATTTCATGGTTTGTAGCCGAAAAAAACCGAAATCGCCTAAGGGCCTACTTCTTTTTATCGCATATTTAGTAGCAATGCGATATTACCATAATGTAGGCCTCCCACGAATCTCAGTACAAATTGCTGGAGAGGCAATGCGATATACGATATGCCTGCCTTCTACATATGCTTCTACATGGCTACATTCAATGGCCCCATGCACCCTGTTCATCGACCGCCTTGCCCGGGCATGCACCATGTGCATCCACCGCCCTACCTCCTCATGTTGCCGGTAGCAACACCTGCTTAATTACCTTGTTTCTGATACACTTGCCAAAGGCCATTGGTGGAAAAGGCTGCTTCCGAGGCAATGCGCCTGGGCACACGATATGTAAACCGGCCTTGCTGGTGACTCGGCTCAAGGCCACATACAATTGGCCATGGGCAAACGGCTCAGGCTGCAAAGAGACGCCGACGTGCTTTAGGGACTGTCCTTGCGACTTGTTGATAGTCATAGCGAATGCAAGACGAACTGGGAACTGGTATCGCCGAAAGGGTGCATGTAACTCGTTCGAATCGGGCGGAGCAAGAGGTATTCGGGGTATGAAATGTCGTTCACCGTCATGTTCACCACCGAGGATATGCACGTCGAGTGCGGTGACACCAATCTGCTTGACTTGTAGACGTGTTCCATTGCATAGACCCAGCTTCTGTTCCAGATTCCTCAGTAGCATGACCGGACACTCGTTTTTTAGCTCCAAATGATGCGGAGGCAGCGAGACCGGTTCGAATGCATTCATGATTTCAGTGGGCAGTAGGAAGCTGTCCTCCTCGTTCACGACTTGATCCAGGCTATTGCACACGATCTTTGCCCCAGGGAACTGATCGATGACTTGCCGGTTGATGTCAGCGACGTTCTTATTGAGGGTGGTAAGGATCGCTCTGGCGGTGTAGAAATCACGTGTCTGGTGAGGACCAAGACCATGGTAGATAGCGTTAATGAGGCCAGGCACGGTATCGTCCTTGTCTTCTTCGGGCCACCCGGTATGCCAATTGGCTGCATGAGGCCCTCCGGTGCTCGGTGCGGTACCATTACCAACATCTAGTAGATCCTGAGCGAATGCCTCCATGTCCGCACGGCCTTGTTCAGTGAGATTTGGGTCTCGTAGCCTCATGTTTTCTGTGAGGCGTAACACCCGAATGGAGGCCCAAAGATATGACGTCCTCAGTGTAGACCGTGCAATGCGACCGGATTCAGCACCCTTAACCACCGGAAGGATCTGACGGAAATCGCCGCAGAAGCAAGTGGCTATGCCACCGAATGGCCGTTCATCCTTCCGAACGTCTTGGAGCATGCGGTCCACGGCCTCGATGTCATAGCGATTCTGCATAGAGATCTCGTCCCAGAAGATAAGCTCGGTTTTAGCCAACAACTCAGCGAGATCCGATTGAAGAGATACACCACAGGAGGACATGGCATTAGCATTGAGAGGAATCTTGAACCGGGAGTGAGCAGTACGGCCACCGGTCAAGAGGATCGAGGCGATGCCAGAAGAGGCCACAGCTAGGGCGACCTTATCGTCATTGCGCACCTTACGAAGCACGGTGTTTTGGAGCATGGTCTTCCCAGTACCGCCATATCCGTCCACAAAGAAGAGCTGACCGCTCTGAGTATCGACTGCATCGCAAATGGCCTCAGCAGCAATCTTCTGAGCATGGTTCAATGTGGCCCAGGCAACATCCCAATGATCCGTCCGATAGTCGTGCTCTTCGCGTAGTAGTCGATTGCGTCCATTGTCATGGTACTGTTCATACTCTTGCTGCACAGCTGGGAGACCGAATGCGCTGAGGCTGACATCGTTGGTGGAGCTGGTGTTATTTTCCTCCAGGCGAATTTGGATCAAATGGAGGCAAAAGTCTTCGGCAACAGCTTGCTTGCCTGGTGTATCGTCAGGGAGGGTAAGGATGGAGTATTCATGCTGAAGTATGTAGATGCAGTCATCGGATAGACTATATAATAGAGGGAAAAAATTAGTCAAGGAAGTCCGTTAGAATGCGGGGGGAGATGTATGATAAATGCGGGTAAAAATGGTTACAAAACGCGTAGCGCGAAATTTTTGTGTGCAAAGATACACCACACCACACCAAGGCGATTTCTGGATGTTTTATTACCGTAGTAGCGCTGAAATTTTCCCCTCGTCGCATTCGAGGACTTCAATCCACCAAATGAAAATCACCCACATACCTTGTTTTGTGCTTATTCCACAGATTTAATGGATTTTCGACATTGTTCAATAGCAAGAGGCACACGAAGACACCCCGCAATGGCCTTCCACCGTCCCAGGCTGAGCATTCCCGCAGGGTATCGTCAGGGGCGGAGTCATGAAGAAGGAGGCCTCGTGCCATGCAGGCAGCGTGGAATGTAGGCTCCAGGTTACCGTTCACTGTGCGAAGGTCTTCGAAGGATGTAGGATTCGGTACATGAAGTAGAAGATACCGTAGATAGAAGAGTTCGCCGGCGGTGGGATTGATGTAATATATGCGGCCGATCTTTCCTGTGGTCCTTTGACGTGGATGCCACTTCTTTGGCTTTAGATCTTTCCTCCATACATAATCGGTCAGCAGATCCGTATACAGAAGGTCGCCCACTTGTCCTTCGACCTGGCGTTGTTGATTCAGCTGAAAGAAGGCCGTTAGCATGGTCTGTCGTTCAGCCTCTTCCCCCAGTATCAAGGAAAGATCATCGTCGTCATCGAATTGAACGCCTTGTTGATTGGGGAGGTGCAGTTGCAATCGTTCAACAGAGGGCTTGTGGCCATGCATATCGAATCCAAAGATCCTCCAGCAGGCCTCTGCAGAGCCTATCCACCGTGCATCGCGGTACTCCTCGACCTCATCCACCTGTTCTTCGTCTACACCATTATCGCGCTGTATGCGAAGACTGGCCCGGTCGCTACCCTTGTGGACATACTTGAAGATGTATTTGCATGCCTTGACATTCGCGCAGATCTCGACATTGATGTGGGCGTCGTATTTGGCCGTCAGATATGGGTTGTGAGGCACCACCCAGTTATTTTGTTTGGAATCGTCCTCAGGGACCCCAGCAGGCCTGCGGCGACGGTATTTGGGGTATCCAAAGTCCGGTTCGAATACAGTCTCATCGCAGAAGTCCTTTGGAAACTGCTTGCTGCATTGGTCCTTGTCTGAGTCCCAGCATGGAGGCACGGTACCGGTTTTGGTGGTGGCATAAACACTGCAGTTTCCATGGAGCATGCACCTGGTAACGGTCTCATAAAGATTCGGATAAAGCGCTTGATCAGGGATCTCAGCACTGACAGCCGCATCTACTTCGGCAATGGACTTGAATCGATCCTCAGGTGTCAATATAATGAGGATGTGGGCATGCGGTAGGCCTCTTTTTTGAAATTCAATGGTGTAACCATGGGCCGGAGCATACCCTGCGGGCAAAAAAACACGTTAGGGCTAGGAATATATAGTATTTTAGGACTGCAACTAGAAACAATATCAATAGTGGTGTGTAACGAGGATTCAATTGATAGGGAGCAAATCTACATATAGTGGTGAAAGCTATTTGTGGGCCGCAGTGACTTTGCCAAGACACGCTAGGCCAAAATAGGTCGCTAAGCGTATGTTTACGACCATAGAAGCTGTCACACTCGTAACAGACTATTCTATAAAGATAATTATCTATGTATATATATTTCAGCGTTGGCGACTTCGTTGCCGTAGGCGATCTGATTGTGAAGTGCATTAACATTCTTCGAAATACTCAGTCCGAGCACCAGGAGCTTATTCGCGAGCTTGAGAGGTACGTCCAGTCACCGCTCCTGCTTATCAGCTCAGCATCAGATCCTGCCTTGTGGTTGAGCTGACTTTTGATACAGTCTCAAACAAGCCCTGAGCCAGGTAGACAAGCTCAAGGGCCGTGGAGACCAAGCCGTCGCCATCGATCAAATCAAGTGCGCTGCCCTGACCTGCAAGTATCCGCTCGAACAGCTCTTGGCCAAAATTCAAAAATATGAAAAGAGCTTGGGCCCAGGAAAGTCGGTTGCCAAAGTCAGAGATGCCGGTAGGAAAGTTTGTTGTGCGTTGGGAAAGAAGGATGAGGCCAACAGGCTACGGAATTATTTCAACCTGCACATTTGGACGATCAATATGCTCATGTTACAAGAAGGCTTGGAAAGGCTTGATGTTGCTTCAGAACAGAGCGACAAGAATCAAGAAGACACTAAAGACGGAATTGAGGGTTACTCTAGAGAGCTTAAAGAGGTAAAAGGTAATGTAGAGGCTCAGGTTCCTGCTGTCAGAGAGAACAACTCTATAATACAGAAGCTCTTCTGTATGGATTTAGAAGCTAAAGACGACAAAGGTAGAACATCGCTACTGAAGGCTATGTCAACCTACCCGTACGACACATTGAGAGCGAAGAGACTCGTTGAATGTGGAGCTGACGTTCATGCAAAAGACTCCGTGGGAACGACTGTTCTTCACTACGTTCAGAGCTCAAGCGAAGGACTTCTGCAGCAGTTTCTGATCACTGGGGTCTGTGCCGGCGAGCTCATGCTGCGAAGCAAGCCGAGAGGGATGATGAGGCCGAGAACTTATGTGGGGGAAGAGAAATGCATGTAGAGTATGAATGCGGCGCCGGACTGATTGCACCTTTGTAATTAAATTTGTAATCAGTCGTCGTAAGTAAGATGGCTGCAAGGCAAAAGTATGTCGATGGTCGCCATTGCACGACGATTTGCTCGTCCGTGAGAGACGAGTGGGACTAGCGTCCCTATGAGCCTCTATAGGGCACGTATCTATTGCTGATGTTGGTCACTTCTATTCTGGATCTCTTGCCTCAGATTTTATCGCTTCTTCGGCCTCGCACTTGGCAATTTCTATCTTCTTTCCCGAACTGAAATTTTTAGGCGGTGTAACTTACCGATATATCTTCCGGCAGTTGAATAAAAGATTAGATTATATACCTTATTGCGTGCTTTTAATATTATATCTAATCTTAATATTATATAGAAAAGAATAGAGTTATTTATATATAATTCGAATAATAATTATACTCTACGTTTATTAAGATATATCGGCGAAGTAATTTTCTAATATAAAATTATTAAGCTAAAGAGATAAGCCTTATTCTAAAACGATAGCTTCGTTATTAGTATGAAATATTTATTAAAAGTAAGATTATTAGTATTAAATTAATATAGATATCGATTAATAATAAGTAAGTAGGGAAGCTATTATATTCGCTTCTCGAATACTAAATATCTTTAAAAGAATATCTTCTTTCTTCTTCGGATTTAGTATAAATCGAGGTCGCTAGATAAAAAGCGATATCTTCTTCGACTTAACGCTATATTTAATATCGAGCCTAAAAATTATAGCGATATTTTTATTAAAATCGAATATATATTTATTAGTTAATCTTATTAACTCTTTCTAGCGCTATAAATATAACGTCTTAATTATAACGAAGAGATATTAAGAATTAATATACGTAAAGGAGATATCTAATATATACTTAAAATAACGTTTATTAATAACTTTATATCTATAGAGATAGATATTTAAGCTAGATTCTAATCTAACTAGATTAAGAATTATAGTAATATTCGTATTCTTATAAATAACGCTCTTTAGCTGAAATTTAATCTTCTAAATAATAAGCTCTATAAATATATTATACGTGAATATTAATATTCTAATAATAAACGAGAAAGTATATAGAGATTAATCGAATCTGATACTTATAATAATTCTTATTAATACTATACTTTTATAACGCTAAAAAGAATTTATTTATTTATCAAAATTTATCTAATACGTAATTATAAAGCGATTTATATCTTTCTAATATCGACTATATTATCTAAATCTCTTTCGATATAATATTAAATACTATCTACGATTTTATCTCTTATTCTCTATAATATAAGATTAGAAAGTTAAGAAGATCGCTAGCTATCTTTAATAATATAATTATCTAAATCGATAAACTTAGTAAAAGATTCTAATTTAAGATATAAACCCCTCGAGCTCTTTCTTCGCGATATTTGAAAGGCGTAGTAAATCTCTTATATTTAAGTATAATAAATAGCGATCGAAGCGAGTATAATAGCGGTCGAGCTATTATACTTACTTTATAGTATAATACGATATAGATAGTCGTTAATATAAGGAGTTAAAGGAGTATATTCGAGTAATTATCTAAATATTAGAATAAAGCCAGCCCGAAAACGAGCTAAGAATTCCTTCGATATACTTAATTTTCTTTCTATTTAGATAAATAAGTATAAACGATAGTCTAAAGATATTCTAGATAATCTACGAATATATAATAATATCGTTAGCTCTATATACTTATTAGTCTCCTATATAGATATCTAATTTAATTATATTTAATAACTAGTTAGTAGAGAACGTCTAGATATATAAGCTAGCAAATTCTTAATCTTGCTAGAGCTTTAACGTAGAAATTCTTAAAAAGACTAGTATTACGGGATTTTACTTTCTTACTACTAGCTATTTTTAATCTAGAGACTTCTAATAGAGTAATACTTAGCTTCGTAGTTAGTTTCAAGAGCTTCCGCTTAAGAACGTTCTTATATAAAAATCGTATAGTCTAATATAAGTCTATAACTCACAGAAAACTTCGATATATATGAATTCTAAATGTATAAACTTTTTATTCGATCTTTTGCGGTTAAGTTATATCGGAAAGGGAGTTGAATAGAAATATACGCGTCTTCTTTATTAAGAAGTTCTCGATAGCCGGCGATATTGGCGTAAATCAGAGATTCTCATCTTCGAACGCACTATTATAAAGAATTAATACGTCGTTAAGCTCGATATTATAGACTCTAGTAATAGCTAATTAACCTTTATAATCGTACTTAATAAACTCCGCCGCGTCGATATTATAGTTAGCAATATAGGGGATAGTAAATATAACTAGAAGTTAATTTCTTTAACTCGATTAATGTTACGAGGATGGCTAGAAAGATCATAAGGGATTAGAAGCTTAAAGGGAGATAGATTCTATAGGTCGTCTCTATCGAAGACTAAAGAGATTTTAACTCTCTTTAATTTCTCGAAATATAAATACTACTAACACCTATACTCGCTTAGAGTATCTATATTCAAAATCTACTACGCCTTTATATAGGCCGTCGAAGACTTTATTAAAGTTCTCTTCTACGAAGTTAAAGTAGAATAGAACATTTACTTTATATGCGTTAAGCCTAGCGATTTTTATATACTAAAATAAACGCTTCGTAGACTTTCTTACTTAATCTATAATCACATAAGCGCTAAAGAATAAATAGCGAAGCGAAATAAAAGTTAAGCTAGAAATTCGATTAAGGATATAAAGTCGAAATATTAGTTAATAGTTATAAAGAAGTCGCTATTAAGCGTAATCATAGAGATAAATATATATAAGGCGACTCGAGCGAAGATTAAAACATACGATAAATAGTATAAAAGATTTAAGAGGGCTAAGTAATAGTATTAATATTAAGAAGTATAAGACTTCTTAAGATAGCTAGATTATATAAGTTTAGATAACTATACTAAGATACTACGAGTATTTTATATAAGCATTATATATATATAGCGAAATAGTATATCTATTCTAAGTTCTTCTAATCCTTTAGTCTATTATATATACTCTTTCGATTAAATAGAATTTCGAAAGTAGTAATCTTTATATAAATATCTTGCGAAAATAAAGCGTTAGCTTAGTACTTATCTTCTTAATATTAATACTATAGCTAATTAATCTTTACGAATTAAACCTCTTTAATACTATTTCCCAGCGATATTCAACTAAACGAAGTTATCTCTATATCTTCTCAACTATTTAAACCTCTATATTCCCTTCGCTAAGAAGATATAGACGATATTATAAAAAGCTAAAGTCTTAGTATTTCCTCTACTTATAAGCTTAAATTAAGTACGCTATAAATAACTTAACGCGGATAAAAGATTAAAACTATTTCTATAATTATCTAGTAATAAGAAATCTATAGCTAACTTATATTAATCGAAAGTAATACCTCTAAACTCGAATAATTATTCTTATAGACTCTAGTTAATAGAGTTACTTTTAAGAGTAATACTCGAGAAATATTAAATATAGAAAACGTATCGCTTAAACTAGTTATAGAGAGAAGAAATAGAAATATAGTACGTAGTTAGCGCCTTATTAGTTTATAGATAGTAGAAGCTATAGTATTAGTAAATAAATAATAGAATTAGAAACTTGTTACTAAGGCTAAAGATACTAAAGTTATTAAAATTATATCTTAATATCTTTAACGAGTCTATCCGTCTAGCTCGGAAATATAGTTTAATAAGACTAAAAGATTATCGAGAGCTAAGGGTAAAGAGTCTCTTATATTAAGAAGTCTACGATAAAGTAAAGATCTAGTAATATCGTAAATATATTATTTATTAAAGTTAACTAATCGATAATAGTAAGTTAATTAATTTATCGATCTAGTATTATATAATCATTATAGGTAAAATTATATACTCTAGTATTAGATAGTTATTAGACTTCTAAATAAGCTATAAATGACGTTAGTACTATAGTAAGTATTATTACTCTTATTAAGATATCTTTAAAGATTATATCTCTTTACGTAAAGTACTATACTTACGTTAAGAATACTAAAAAGAATATCGATCGATTATATCTGAAAGTTAGAGTATTTATTAATATTCTTAAAAATCTAAATAAACTTACTTAGAATTTAAAAGCAATTAGACTTTTCGCGCTAATATTACTTAACGAAGATATTTAATAATATCTAATATATCTTAAGTACTTATAAAAGAAGCTAGAGTTAGAAAAGCGTCGAAAGACTATAAGTCGATATAAGATTTGAGTATTAAAATAACCATTCGAAAGAAAGAAGCTAAAGAAAGATCTTAGTGTACTTAAGAGATATAAATTAATATTTACTACTACTCTAAATATAGACCAGACGTAAGATATCTCTAATTTAAATATCTAAATTAAGTTAATCTTAATAGCTCTTTAATACTTAATTTTGATATTAAACTAAATTTAACGAAGTAAGATCGATGTCTATTTAAGCTTTCATATGCGAACGAGATTAACTTCGACTTATTTAAGCGGCAAAATAAGCCTTACTACCTTCTAGATACTTATATTAATATTTTATATTAGATTATAAAGTAAAACGTCGACTTATATTAAAAGACTATAATATTCTAATGAATATAGATGAGAGGCTAAGTCGTTTAATTCGATTAGTATCTAATATTCACGATAGCGAATATACGAATAAATATATTTACACTTTTTATTACTAAGAGAGTAAATAAAGTTAGTTTAAGAAAGAATTAAGGGAATAGAAGAAATTTCTAGACTATCGATAAAAGAAAGAAACGAATAAGAAAACGAAGGTATAGCTAAAAGAATAATAATCTATAGAGAGCTCGATCTAAGTAAATCTCTAAAAAGACTATCGAATCTATCTATATATGAAGGTCGAAGATATTAAGTAATAAGTGAAATTCTAATAGTAGTAAGTAAAATACTTTCAGTAAGAAGAGAATATCTACGCTCGATAGAGGATGAATAATATTATATATCGAATATATTTCGAGACTAAAAATATATAATCGTATATAAAGGAGGTATAAAAGTAAGTTAAGTCTATAGAGATGCGTTTAAAGTAAATAGAGTAATAGCTTTTAGCCTTTCTCGCGGAGTGCGTCGTCTCGACGATATAGATATTAATATCCGATCGTCTAAAGGTTTAAGTTAAGCTATCGAAAAGAGTATTAAGATTAAATTAAATTACGCTTAAGAATCTTAGATCTAATCGATCTAATAAATCGGCCCCACGAAATAATTACGATAATAAGAAAAATCGTACTTTAGTAAAATCTACGCTTGATTTAATCTATTTATTAAAAGTATTAAAAGCCGTTAGAAGAAAGATACCCCGTCTTCGATAATTATTAAAGAACTCTATAAAGCGTAATAATATCTAAAACTAAGATCTTAATATAATTATATTACTATCTTTATCTATTAATATTACTTCGCGTAGAAACCGCTAATTATCTATTAATTAAAAGAGATCTAATATATTAAAAGCGAATTTAGTTATTAAACTAGAGAGAAATATATAACTTTAATCTATCGAGGTTATACTATATAGAAGTAATCGAATAGCGAAATAGAAAGAGAGAAGAAGTATATTAACTTTTAGTGCGATATTAAGCTTAATCGTAATCTTATAAATAGCTTCGTTACCATAATTTAAACCTAAAACTCGCGTTTTAAACATCAAACTAGATAAAAGCTAGAGGAAACCGCGTGAAATATCTAAGACGCGAGGAAAGCGTCTTTCACGGAAGAGGGCTAAGATTCACACTTAAAGATGGGTTTACTTCGAATCGATTTTAATCTTAGATAAGCAGGGAGATATAGTGTCACGTCAAACTATCATCTAGTGTCCTAGTTTAATCCCTATTCCGAGCAAGCAGATAGGCGGCACCACAAAATCCTATAGGCCTTCTCAATCGAGGGGTTTAGAGCGCAGGTCTGGCATTGCTTTAGCAGGTATATAACGTTCGATAGAAGGATGTCGTAATGTGGTGATCGATCGTGCAGCTTCTCAAGCTTGCAAGTGCCTATAGGTCATCGTTTGGCAGCATGCAGCCTTGATACAGAGAAGAGTGAGATGAGAAGGCCATTATCTTTGCTGTTGCAAATCACGACCTGACCTCTCGAAAGGCATAGAAAGGTTTGAGTCAAAATGTAGCCACAGGTTATACAGTCAGGTTGATGGGATAAAATCCATAAAGCTGGCGCGCCTCGTAGGTCGCCTTAACGCTTTTATTACAGCGGGGTTAAGGGACGCTAGAGACTTAATCCTTACTTTAATCTCGATAGCTTTCTTCACAAACTGCTAAGTAGATAAGTTAGTGATTACGCGGATTAAAGGAATCGTATCTTATATATCGCGTGGATGTTCTCGAATAAGGTGCGAGATCCGCTATCCCTTCGAGTGCAGACTTTAAGTTCTTATAGTGGGAGAAATCTGGCGTTGCAGAAGGGTGGCGAGAGAAGAACTGCTACGGTCCGTCGAAAGGATACGGCATCCACAATGCATGCTGACAAACTGCATAGGTATGATGATCATTACAACTGTATCGTGTAAGCCGCATAGCTCTTGCACATGCTCGGGCGCTTCAAGGTGGGTATTTGGAGGTTCGCCTCGGAAAGAGGTGGATGGAGCAGGGCCGAGAGTTGCTGTATACACCGATTTGCATGAGGAAGCAAGCGCTGCTGCATCATCCAATACTATGGCTCCGTTTGTCCGGGTGCAGCAAACCCAACGGTTGTCGTAGCCAATATCATCAGCTCGTACCACAATTCCTGGTATCCCGACGTTGACGACACTGCCGCTGTTATCAGGTTTCTGGGAGGAAGAGAGGAGGAGGAGGGGAGCACGAGGGAAGTAGTCAGGCTAAAGTAGATATGTTGGAAATATGGAATGATGTACCTGTGCGTTTGCCAAGCAAGTAGCATCACAGGGTTGTTTGCCGCATTTTCCGACAGGATACTTAGAGTTTCCAGCAAGGAGTATTTATACTACGGGGTGGTGGAGGGGAGGCTGGAGTATGAGTATTGAGGGGAGGAGAGGGGATGATTGGTTTGGGATTGTGGAGGTATTATATAGAATGGTGGTGCATAAGGTAATTAGACTAAGGACTTTCCGCGCCTTTACATTAGATGAATAAACTCGTCTGTGGATTTGGAAGATCCAGGATGGCTGGTTTCCTGGACAAACTGTCATTCGTAGATCGCCACAGTCGCCCCCTCAGAGCCATCCCCTTTCGTCTTTTCGCCCGCCCATACACTCCTACATATACAGAGATAGCTACGTGTCATTCAAGACCCGAATCACATAGACTTGAAAATTCCGTCAGGCCTAGGGCTCTGAATGTTGGTTTTCGGACTACGATTTGGAATACGATGGGTGATGAGGGTCTAGCTATCCTATTCTTCGCGGGAGGATGAGGTTGGTCCGTGATGGTGGCGATTGAGAGCAGTGATTGATATAGTAGGAGGTGGGTTGGTGATTTTACATGTAGTATACCCTGATTCAAAGTTTCGTTGGAAGAGTTGGGATGATCGATTATTCGTAGACTGAAGATCTGTGCGCAAAGTGCGGTATGCTGTAGAATAAGCCAGTGAATGAATGATCAATAAAACGCAGAGAGAACGTTCCGAGGAAATGAAAACTGGAATGAGCATTCATTTTTAGCAGAACGTAACTCCTATAGCGCCAGAAAAGAAGAAAGCATCAGCTAAGCTTGCGCGATTTTAACGTCACGTTTGCCATCAAATACAACATATCCAGCGCGAAGTCAGCAAAGGTGCCGAATAAAATCACTACCCCTCGTACAATAATCAGATGAGCTCCTCCCTTTGGGGACTTTCCTAAGTACACTCATCCCCCATTTTGACTCACCAAGGCACTTCCCACCCCGCTTTCTCCACCCTTTCCGGGACCTTGGGTGGTTGGGCTATTCTTAGCTCAGTTTATCCTACTGGATCTTCTCGTGTGGCTTCATGGACGGCACGGTACCGTACACTCTATTGGCCTTGATAACCCTATGCTCCACCGATTTTTCGTCCACGCTGCCGAAGACCAATTCCAGATGTTCACCATCACCCTCATCGTCGCGCATAGTTAGGATACGCACAGGCAGCTTGAAGATGTCGAATTCGCTGATACCGGCGCAGGTGTTGCGGAGTGCTTTCGTAGGCGGTGAATTGACTGCTAAGGCTGTGACCTCCGCAATGGAGTCCCAGCAGGTAGAAGAGATACCTGAGATACCCGCGTATAGGACATGGGCAATGGCAAAAACACAATAGATCATAAGCAGACAGATGGCAAGCTTTGGAATGGTGCCGCGGGCGCTGTAGGCATAGCCTTCAAGAACGGAATCAACATGGAATTTAACCCAATCTTTGCTATCACTGGCGTCAACTTCGAAGATGTTGCCTTTTCCAGAGAACCAGTAATCCCCATCGATGGCAGAAGAACCATCGGATTGCGTGACTTGTCTTATCGTGCCTTGCAACGTGCTTGTAGATCCAAGACTGCCAAGGCCAATAGCCAACAAAGAACTCAGGATTATCTTGACATTAGGTGCGGGGTGGACTGAAGTAACGTTTGAAGCCATCAAATAATGAAACAAAGTTGTATTCAACAAGGGAACTGAAGGATTGAGATATGCAGCCCATTCCTCGGTCACAGTCACTGTACGTTGAGGGTAGCCTGGAAGTTCAAAGTAGCCATCGGCTCCTAAGACGTCTGACTCTGCAGATGGTGTTCCCAACACACCCGGGGAGTTGATATCTGTTTCGATGCTGACTTCACTCAGGATCGATTGTGGTGTTGTGAAAACGGTTGAAGTATTCATCTTCGTTGCACCCCAGCCAGCTCCAAGATTACACACAATTATCTGCTGTTTTGTGTCGTTTTGCGCATTTGGCAATAAAACGATAGCGCCAATTGCTGTACCGTTGAAGGGATTTTGGGGTAGGGCGACCCATCTCAAACGGTTCTCGTTCAGCGGACCAGGCGTATTCAGAATTTCAATTCTGGTGATGCCGTGAAATTCGAAAGAATAGCTAGGAGTAAGAGATTGATTGTATGCACTTGTGTAGCCGGGTAGAATTGAGTCATTGAATGCGCTGACATCCAACATTGACGGGTTAGATCCGGGAGGCAGAGGAAAACCGACAGGTCTCTGATCATTCGGACCATTTATTACATCAGGCGCGCATCCCACCAGTGAATATGGTTGATAGTAGTCTTGCGTAATGCTATGCACTGCGTCAAGCTGGTCTACCCGAATATGGTATAAATAGGGTCGGATATCATATTATTTTTCTAATATGAGTTCGGGATCTTAGCGGGATATTCTACGATATAGTATATCTATAATATTATATTATAAAATAATATATATATAAGATATTCCTACTGAGATTTCTATATTTATAGAATAATTCGACTGAGATATATAGAATATATTTATTCTTCTTTATTAAGAGAGAGGGAATATAAAGAGTAATTTAATATAGCTATTTATCTTTTTATTAATATTAATAATTAGAATAATAATTAGAACTATAAGCGTCTCTATTCTTCTTCTTAAAATTATAATATAAAAGAATATTCTGAATTTTAAATCTTTAAATATTATAAGAATAAAATTCTATAATTATCTCTATTTATATATTTATTTTAACGCGTTAGATAAACTTAATAGACTTTATATTCATTCTTCTCTTAAATTTTAATTTACCCTTTTTTTTTTCCCTTTTTTTAATTTTTTAAAAATTTTTAAATATATCCTTTTTAAATAAAAAAATTTAAAATTTTTAAAAAAAAAAAAATTTTAAAATTTTTTTAAAATTTTTTTTCAAAAAAAAAATATTTTTTTATAAAAACTTTTAAAAAAAAAAAAAAAAATAATAATTTTTTAAATTAAAAAAAAAAAAAAAAAAAATTAAAAAAAAAAAAAAAAATAAAATAAAAAAAAAAAATTTTTTAAAAAAATAATATTAAAAAAAAAAAATATAAAAAAAAAAAAAAAAAAATTTTTAAAAAAAAAAAAAAAAAATTTATTAAAAAAAAAAAAAAAAAAAAAAAAAAAAAAAAAAAAAAAAAAAAAAAAAAAAAAAAAAAATATATAAAAAAAAAAAAAAAAAAAAAAATAAAAAAAAAAAAAAAAAAAAAAAAAAAAAAAAAAAAAAATTAAAAAAAAATTAAAAAAAAAAAAAAAATAAAAAAAAAAAAAAAAAAAAAAAAAAATAAAGAATATTATAAGCTATTTAAGCGACTATAGCGTATTTAAACTTTAATTTCTTTTATTACTTTAAAATTAGAAGATTCGCTAGATTATTAAAAAAAGCTTTATAAAGATTAGAGATAAGATTATAACTAAAATAATAACTAGAAGACTTATTATTTCTTCTATATCACTAAAACTAATTATATCTATTCTCATTATCTAAATTCTTAATCTCAAATTTTATCGCTTAATTAAATATATTTTTATTTAATTAATTTTATTCGCTTAGCTCTTTGCAATTAACTACTTATATTAATATTTTAATAATTTTAAAATATCTTTTTAAGCGCTTCTTAGTAGATCTTTATTTATAGCTTCTCTTTAATATTAATCTTCTAATTTAATCTCTTTAACTTTATATTATTATAACTTAAATATAAAAGCGTAGTTTATTTATATAAATAGCTTAAATTTAATTAAGTTTAACTATAATAGATAGTTAATTTCTCGCGAGTCGCCTTAAAAGCTTTATAAAAGTTCTTTTTTTTAAAGAATTTGTGAGGATGATTCGGCTACCACTGGGCCATAGGCCAAAAGGATCGGGGGTATCGCGCTTCATGGCCGATACGCCCTATTTGGCCCTATAAGAGCCTGCTATACCCCCGCTGTAGACTGTTAGGGCGATTACGCCCTTACAACTATCCCCCCCTTAAGGCTGCGTCCTCGCGGCCCTAAAAAGAACTGATTCGAGGGCTTTGCCCTGATCAGCGGCCCCCGCAGAGCCGACTTGGGGCGCAGTGCGCCACCCCCCGGTTGTCCGGGACTTCTTGCCTCAGAGGTCCCTATGGGACATGAGATACGTCACAGGGACCCTTTCGGGGTATGTGCCTCGGTACTTGTGTACCGAGACTTCTTGCCTCAGAGGTCCCTATGGGATATGAGATACGTCACAGGGACCCTTTCGGGGTATGTGCCTCGGTACACGTATACCGAAAGCCTCAGGGTACGGAACTGTACCGCTCCTGGGAGCCGGTACCCGATAAATCTGGAACTTTTTTGCCCTCTGGAAAATGTTTTTCCCCCCGCGTACATGACGGGGTCGAACCCTCGGAATCAGGGAATCAGCGGATACACCCCGCAGTGGCTAGCCTTCCCGGGGTTTAGCCAAGCCCCGGAATTTCAGCGCGATATAGTTGTGAGGATGATTCGGCTACTACTAGGCCATAGGCCAAAAGGATCGGGGGTATCGCGCTTCATGGCCGATACGCCCTATTTGGCCCTATAAGGGCCTGCTATACCCCCGCTGTAGACTGTTAGGGCGATTACGCCCTTACAGAATTCTCTTTCTTTTTAATTTTCTAAGCTTTTTATCTATATAATTAAATAGATAATTATAGATATTAAAGACGTAATAAATTATAGCCTTCTTTTCTCTATTTATTAATTTTATAAATTTATAAAAAAATTTAATAAGCTAAATTAAATATTAAATTTATTAGAAATTAATTAAAAATTATTTAAACGTCTAGACTATAGTTTCTATCTATAATTATTTTTTATTACTTAATCTTAAATAGATAATTAATCTATTTTTTAAAAAGTATATAATATTAATATAAAGAAGTAGAGCGCGAATTAATATCTAATAAATTAAATTTTAATAAGTCTTAATATTCTAAAAGAGCTTAAGAAGGCGTTTCTAATAATATTACTTCTTTTTAGAAAATTAATATTTATCTAATATTAAAATATTTTTATCTTAAAGCTATTTAGCTTATAATATAAAAAAAAAAATTTACGCTAATCGCTAATATTAATATATATAGTAATTTTTCGAATTTTAATATAATTAATAATATAATAATTAGAATAATAATAAGAAATATTATATTTTTATTAGAGTTATTAATAGATTAATTATATTTACTTAAACTTAATCTTTATCTTCTTTATTACTTTAGCTTTTTTAAAATTTCTTATTTATTAAAATAATTTTAATATTATCTAGAAGTTCTTTTAAAATTAATTAAATAACGTATACTATATAGAAAATATATTATAAATAATTTAGAGACTTAAATTCTTTAATATTAAGCGAGTTATTTATTATAAAAATAGAAAGATAAGTAATTAAATCTTCGAAGAGTATACTATTATTACTAACGTTATTAGTTATAAGTTTAAATATATAATTCTAAATCTTATATTTTACGAGAATTAAATTAATAATACTTATAAGTTTTTAACTAATATATTTATCTTCGATATATTTAAAGTCTATAAAAATCTCGTACTATTACTAATTAATATTAATAAAAAAGATTAAGATTATTATAAATCATTAACGATTATAAGATAATTAATAATCTAGAATTAATAAAAGTTTAATATTATCGATTAATAAATTCTTTAATAATTTTACCTCTAGCTCTATAGCTTTTCTTATTAATCGATTCTTTATAATAAATATCGATTTTAATTATATATTAAAGTCGAGATAGCGTAAGAGTCGTAGTATTTTAGAATTATTAGCGACCACAAATGAAATATCGATATTTACGATTTAGCGATAAAATTATTTCGAGAAATCTTCGCGTATAAGCTTTTAACCTCCTAGTATTATAAGAGAATTTTAATATTATCTTTTCTAGAGTAAATAGTAAGCTAAATATTCTATTTATCGTTTTATTTATTAATAATTTATATCGTCTAATTTAGAAATATATCTAATTTTTATAACTATCGATTAAATTCGTTTATTATAAACTATTTAAATTAGATTTCTTAATATATCTCTTAAACTTAATATATATTATTATATCATTTATTTCGTAATCTATAAATAAGTAAATTAGAATCTTATTATAGTAATAATAAATAATATATAACTCTCTTAAATCGATAAGCGTATATTCGTTAAATTATATTTACTTCTAGAATTTCTTAATTTTTAAGCCTTAATAAATAGACTAACAGTCGTTACTAAATTTAAACTAATTCTATATAATTTATACTATCTTTATTTACTATTATATTTATTATTCTTTATTATTAATATTAAAAAGAAAATAAGATTTATTATTATCTTTACATCGAAATATACTTATCAATATCTTATACTAAGTATTATCGATTAAGAAAGTTAAGCTTATACTAAATAAAAGTCTAGTTAATATTATAAGATTAAGATATTTAAAGAGAAATTAAAAAAGATACGTAAACGAATAAAATATTAGAAATAAAATAAGATTAATATTTAATATATAAATTCTATCTTCTTATTATAATAGAAACTTATATCGCTTTAATAACTTATATCGCTTTAATAATATATCGCTATATTATTTCTAATATTTTAAATTAAAAATTAATTCTTTCTAATTAGCGTTATAATTAATAGCTATATATTTAAGAATATATAATAACGCTAATATAGAATTAATATTTAATTTAATTAATTTAAAACTCTAATTAATTTAGCTATTAACGCTTTTCTACTTAATATAATATATACTTAATTCGCTTTAATACTATTTATTCGCCGCTATATTATTTTAAATATTAGAATTAAAGATTATATCTTTTTAATTAATATTTTAATCGCTAGCTATATTAATAAGAGCGTATACTAATATCTTAAAATTACTAAATCTATTTTATTAGATATCGATATAGAATTAAAATTTAATTTAAGCGCTTTAATAATTTAATTAGCTAAACTAATTATTATCTAAATCTTCTATATATAAAAATTAAACCTTTTATCGCGCTAAGACTATTCTTAAATATCGATATTTTTCTTATTAATACGACTCTCTTTTATTCGAGTAATATTATAATATCTTTTACTTAGGCGTTAAAATATTAAAATACTATATTCTTTACTTTTAATTAAGCGATATCGTCTTTAAGTTAATATCTTTAATCTTATAAAAATAATAATTAGTTCGTTATAGACGAAGACGAAAAAGGAATAATATCTTCTTCTATCTTTATAATAGAAGAAAAAAAGAAAGTAAGTAAATTAATTATAAGCTATAAACGGCTTGACGTTTAAGAATAATAAATTAATAAAGTTATAATATTAAAATAAAGAGCTTTTCTTATAACTAATAAATGTGAAATTAAATAGAAATTAGTTAAATTAATAAGATTATCTTTAGTAGATATATCGCGTATATAAAGAATATCGAAATATATGAAATATGTATGAAATATGAAAGGGGGTATATATATGCAGCTATAAATATCTAAAGTATATTTGAAATATAGAAAGAAGCGCTTATATATAGCTCTACGATACGTATTAATAAAAAGAAGTTAATCTCTTTTTCTAATTAGCTTTCTAATTAACGTTTAAACTTAATTTATTTTTAAATAGCATTTTATTCTAATAAGGTTTTAATTATATAATATTAGTTAGCTTAATAATAAATATTTAATATTATTCTTTTCTAATTTACCCTCTTCTTTTTTAAAAATTCTTTTTATTATTATAGTATTTATATTATAATACGCTTATTTATTATAATACTATCTATATCTAAAAAAAATAAAATTATTTTCTCTATATTCTATAGTTAAATTAAATTAACGATATTATTTTTATAAAGTAAGTATATATCTAATAGCGCTATATCTCTTAATACGATAATTAATTATAATATTAAATATAATTCGTTAATATATAATATTATTATTTATTAAAGCTATTAACTTAATAGTTACGAAAGCTTAAGAAATTATTAATAATTTATTAATTATTAATCTAGATTTATTTAAATTATCGAAACGAAGTAAAAATAAGACTTCGCGAAGGCGAAGATTAGAAGATTATACGCGAAGTTTAAAAAGTATAACTATAAATAAGAAAAGTACGTAATTATATTAATTATATATATTTAAACTAGATAATAAGTTAATTATATATACTAATTATATTATTACTAATTAAACTTTAAAGCTTATATATTAAAGAAAATCCGCGAATAGTAGAGATTAATAAATTTAATTATTTTTTAAATTATATTCGTTTAAGTAATAAAGAAGATCTTAATTTATATAACTTTAAATTCGATTAGTTCACTTTAAATTTAAATCTTTATATTAAACGCACTTTAAGAAGCTATAGAGATAAAATTAGCGAGCGATTTTAATAATATAACTTACTCTCTAGTAATTATAAATAAAAAAAATTACTAATTAATATCTAGCGGCTTAATTATATATATTTTATATAAAAAGAATTACTTTATAATTAAAAGATATATAGCTTTTTAGATAATTACGATAAGATATAAGTTTATAAGTAATAATATAGTATTATTAAAGTCTAGACGTAGTTTTTATAAAAAGAAAATATATAATAAATAAAAGAAAAACTATTTTAAGTTAAGAATAAGATATTCTAATTATCTTTCTATTTATTACGCTTAATTAATAATATTTAGCTATTATACTTAATCTAATAACTTTATATATTTTATATTTATAGAATAAAACTTCTTAAATTAATTTAAATATAAGTATATACTCGTAAAAATATTACTACTCTAGTAAAAGAGGCTTCTTATTCTAAAATCTATACTAAATTAAAGATTATATTTCTATATCTAATAGCTTTAATTTCTATAATTACTATTAATATTGCGATTAAATTCGTATAATAATAATACGCCTTTTTTATTAACGAGTATCTCTATATTTAATAGCTTTAGTTTCTATAATTACTATTAATATCGCGATTAAATTCGTATAATAATAATACGCCTTTCTTATTAGCGGGTATTTCTATATTCGATAACTTTAGTTCTTATAATTATTATTAATATCGCGATTAAATTCGTATAATAATAGCACGCCTTTCTTATTAGCGAGTATATTAATAATCGTAAATAGCTGAAATATGATAGAAAATAGTAAGCGACCCTTAGTAATATTCGATTCTAAATCTATAGCTTCTTTATCTCATCTGAGAGTAAAGATATTTATATCTAAAATTTGAAATAAGTATATTTTAATATATAGTTATTAAATATCTAGATATAAATCTTCTAGTTAAAAGATTAATTTCTTTAGAGTTAACTAGTATAATTATAATAATAATTAGAAGTATAATTATTATATTATATAGCGTATTTTAATAAATTAAATTTGATAGGCTTCGCTAGTATAACGCTAGATAGATTTTAAGATATTAAAGCTACGAGTAAAAATTCTCTCTTTCTTTCTTTCTTAGCATTTTATTATAAATTAAATATTTTCTCTTATCGATATTTTATATCGTAATTATTTTATCTTATCCGCTTTAATCTAACTTAATAATAATATATTATTAATAATTATTAATTCCGATAGTGATTCTATTATACTATTATTATATAGAGATAGCGATATCGATTTATATATTAAGTCGATCTATTCGAAAGATAATATAGAATTTAATAATCTTCTTAACGATATAAATAATCAGTCGAATAATTATTTATTTAATCTTTATATTAAGACTTTAAGTTAAAAGAAAATCTTAAAGTCTTCTAGTCGTAAAAAAGATGATCGCGAAAAAAATCGAACGAGGTAAGTCTTTAGTTATTCGCGCTTTCGGTGTAAAGATCGTTAAAAAGAATATTTCGAGATCTTTATTTATAAAGATTAAAAATCGACGTTAAAAGTAAGAAAGTAAGTATAATAATATAATATTTTATTAAGTAATACGTATATATAATTAATAATATTTTAGTTATTGCTTTACGGGAGATTAAAAGATATTAGAAATTAACTAATTTACTTCTTCTAAAAAGATCTTTCGTCTATATAATACGAGAGATTATTAATACGATATTGCCACCTTATCGTATTATACGAATTTAGACTTCTATATTAAATACGTTATAAGAAGCTATCGAAGTAGCTCTAATATCGAAATTTTATCGTATATTAGCTTTTTATTAAGTCGTTATTTTATTAATAAATTATATAATTAATAACCTCTACGCTATTTATAATAAAAGAGTTATATTAATAGTTAAGAATATAAAGCTTATATAAATAATACGTTAATATATAATAGAAGAAAGTGCGTAAATAATAAGAATAAGATAGTTAAAAGTACTTTACTTAGATAGAAGAGAGTTAAGATACTTAATATAGAATAGAATTCTAATTATCTTTCTAATCACCAAAAAATGTAAAAATTTTTTTTTTTAACAAGGGTCCTTTTTTTTTCCTTTTTTTTAGAAAAAACTCTTCTAAAAAAAAAAAAAAAAAAAAAAAATAAAAAAAAAAAAAAAAAAAAAAAAAAAAAAAAAAAAAAAAAAAAAAAAAAAAAAAAAAAAAAAAAAAAAAAAAAAAAAAAAAAAAAAAAAAAAAAAAAAAAAAAAAAAAAAATATAAAAAAAAAAAAAAAAAAAAAAAAAAAAAAGGAAATTAACGTAAAACAAAAAAAAAAAAAAAAAAAAAAAAAAAAAAAAAAAACACAACCAACAAAAAAAAAAAAAAAAAAAAAAATAAAAAAAAAAAAAAAATTCCGCTAGCCAGAAGTTATGTACCCTACATACTGTAAGAAGGAAACGGCTGGCGTGCACGTATTTTACTTATTTATTAGCTCCGTGAACGCAAACAGTTGAAGGTCCAAAATTGGAAAACTTTCTAGAATTGGAATCGTCCTGACTTATCAGAGAACCTTTTATAGGTGGTATTTCTCATTATTCTCGCATCAAGATGTTATAATGTTGATTATATCCTATTCAAAATGATCCGTCTCGCCCAATAAATCTGGGATCAAATTACGCAAGATTTACCTTCGTTTTCCGTGAAGAGCGCTACTCAGATCTTTGGATTTAAGTTCAGCAATAAATCGCAGGCCAAGCATGTCCGAGTCTGGAGCGCCATTTTTCGAGATTCAGCTTGGGTAACCAAAGCTAGAGAGTGGGGACTGATGCCAACGTTGATCGGTTCGAACTTGAGAGTCTACTATAATCATCAACGAGCTTCAAGTACGGCATATATGGCCCTTTACACTTGGGCACACACTCGACGAGGCAATACATTCAAAGCCGATCCAGAGAATTTTGAACTGTTTCTCAAGTGCTTGATGCCGCACTCCTTTGATTCGTCTACCCATGAAATCAAATTCAAGTGTGGCATTACTCTCAATGTATCCGAAGTCCGCGGTTGTGACTCGATAGTGGTCGAGCCCACAAAACTCTTGACCTATCGTTCCAAAGGCTTTCGATCAGAGTATCTGTTCTGGGATGACATCACATATAGTCTCCGACAGGTCGATCTGGTCTCAGCCAAAAGACCATGGAGACCAGCTACGCAATTCGCTGACGTACATAAAGGCTGTCGTCTACTCCTGCTGGACTATCCGGATTCTCCCCACCGCTTTGTTGATGTGCTAGAGCCGGAAGAGTATCAGAGGAAATTGGCTGACTGGAAGCGTTGATATTCAAACGCACGCTGGCGTGCCTTTCCTAAAGATTGGAGAAGTCGCTAAGAAACCAAAGTAAATAGTCATCAATCAACGTTAAGGACTGGATCCCATGACTGGTATAAACCAAGTTTCTAGCCTTCGTTGCAATCTTTAATCCTATCAATTCCTCCCATAATATAGCTTCAACTCCTGATAAATCATTTCCACCGTCCTACAAAGGTTTGTCAACGTTTCACAATCGGACCTAAGATATCTCTGAAATGTCATGGAGATGGGTTTCACTACCGGCTGGTAGACAACAAAGCCTTTGTGCCGATAGTCCAGTGACACGCAGTCGTTTCCATATGAGCGATGGTATCGGAATAGCGAGGGCTTCCTGAGTGCGTCTGATTGGCAGTATATTTAGTCCTCAGATAAGTCTGATACCGAAAATGACGCTGACGGTCTCCTTACAGCGGTGTAACCTTCTTACTTCTCTCCCCTGTCTGTAATCACTTTCGACGGTGTCCTCCATAGCCACCCCTGTGGGCTGCCTATACCCACCTCCATTATTTCAATATCTCCGCACGTATTGCGCCACCACCTCGAGCCGATCTTTCCACTCATCTTCCTAGGAGCCTAACTTCAACTTTCCTGCACCCAATAATATTGGCACCGGGTCGTAGTGGTATTACAGAAAGCATTGCCGCATTTCTACCACAGCCCTCCTCAGCCACCGTTTTCCCCTGGAAAAACGACCATCCCAGCTCTTGCAGATCTGTCGCATCGACGGCAGCGCTTGCTCGATCGTTTGAGCAATGTCTCTAGTGTCATTCTTAAGCTCTGGTAATGAGCTGTGTATGTCAAGCATTTGTGCAGCACCGGCTGCGGACCCGTTTTGATAGGCAGAGATCCCGTCCATAGTCGGACTATTTGGACCTTTGGATGAAGGAGAATCGTTGTGAGTGAGGAGGTGCGCCATTTGTGGAACAATCAGATAGCCGAGCCCAATTCCGAAAATGGATCATCGAGCCCTGCCAAAGGTGGAACCTTCGATGATGTCTGCATTCCATTTCGTCGCTGGAACATAATGACGCGACTCGGGAGCTTATACGCTTGTGTCTTACACTGTCACGGAATGGAATATGATATGGTCATAATCTGGTATGGTAATAATGTATGTAGAAGAAAGAGTATCTACAGGAGGCAGAAATGGTGTGTGCGGTGCCTAGACCACCGAGACATGGTATGTCCGGTATGTCCGGTGAGGGAATCCGTAACATACACAGCTATTTCGATGTTTTTTCACTTCGTCCTTTGTGGGTTGTTACAATATGAGACCATTGCTTTGCAATCCAACATGCAACAAGAGCATCCAGTAACCCAGAATCCAGAGTATCCTCGACCCTCATCGTGCATTCGAGATCTGACCTAGTCCTTGCCTACAGTCTACCATCTTCAGTCGTCCAACGCGATCCTGGATCCTCAGGCTGGGACCACTCGGGTGTGGTGCGAAAGAGTAGGATGGAGCAGCCGCCATGCTCGTGGTGTGCTTTCCACCCACCAGACCAGCCCCGGCGCATGTGTATTAGACCGGGAAGAGAGGCTTCTGAGTTGCTCCGTAATTCCAGTTCTTGATAGTCGGTTGAAACGCGAGAAATGTCGTACAGAAGGTCTTCGCGAGTAAACATCTCAGGTGATAAGGGGTATTCACCCATTAACGGACGAGTCTTTGACCGCCTAACACTCATGATTGGTACAGAACTGTCCATCATATGAGAAATCTGGTAAGGTTGAGTCTTTTCACCAGCAAAATCACTCTAGGATATCTCCTCGAACAGAACCCCATCTTACATTTACATCTTAAGCCATTCTCTCGCAAGAAAAGAAAGGGGGAAAAACGAGAAGAAAAAAAGAAGCGGACCTGCAATTCATCAATCAATCAATACACATATCTAGTCGCTATCTAGCTATCTAAGGTGACTGGGAATGTGGGAGACCGATGGACTCCCCTGTCTGTTCTATCAATGGGGATGGGAATACGCCAATCGCTCAAGATGCAATCAGGTACTGACGGGCACATCATTAACCCGGCCACACATCACCCCCGGGTCCTCCCTCTCTCACAGCATGAGAGACCGATGTTTCTTCTTAATATGACTCGAGTGAGTAAGCAAGCAAGCAAGCGGATTCTCTCATCAATTTTTCAGAACCTCAAGCGTTCAACGTCATGCGATCATCCTCCGCGCTCTGAAACGGCACCCCCAGCTCAAACAACTTGACAATGACGTCGCGGAATTCCTTGAAGAAGACCCCGTCATCCTTGGCGTACCGCTCGACGTGCTTCTTGAAGCTCGCGTCCTTGACGAGCGCCATGTCCGTCGGCAGCATCATGAGCGACTTGCTTCCCGCATCCTCGTACTGCTTCGGTCCGTCCCACTTCTTCCACGCCCACTTCTCCCCCAGCAGCAGCCGGAAATAGTCGTTCGAGACGACCGTCGGGGAGAAGGACCAGGGGCCGTCGAAGCCGGAGCGGTCGGTGTGGCAGCGGCCGAGGGCGTGGGCGCCGGACAGGGCGACGATTTCGCGGTCGTCGAATCCCATGCGATTGAAGATGGCGCGGAGGTGGGATTGCTCTTTGGCGCCGTCCGGGAGCCGGCCGTCGGGCGTGCACATGGATACGTCCCGGTCGGTGCGGCCGGGACGCCAGGGGATGGAGGGACCTTGCATTTCTTGGATGGCACAGACGCCGGCGAGTGTCCAAAGGTCCGAGTAGGTTATCCAGGGGTTTTTGGCTAGGAAGGGGGAGTCAGAAGGGCGTAGAGAAGATCTGGGGGTTGTGGTTGGGTACCTTTGACTGGTTCGAGGAAATCTCGGGCTGCATTCAAGCCGGCGTTTGCGCCGTGGTCACCTTCGGGGGCGAAGCGCATGGTGGCGCCATTTGAGCCGCCGGTGTTGGTTTCCTTGTCGTAGCTGAAATTTCTCGTTAGCGTTTGGGCTCAGGATGGAGAGGCGCTCGAGACTTGCGTTCCACTGCAATGCCACGCCAATCGTACAATCACCGGTCCGTAACTCCCGTCGTCATAGTCGTCCTTCTCCTCCAGTAGCTTCGCAATCTCGTTGTATACTTGCTGATAGTCCTCCTTTTTTAGTGGGAACACGCCTTTTTTTTCGCCCGAACTCCCCTTTTTCATATCCGGAACGCCTCCATGGATGAGATAGAAGTAGCCGGCGCCTCCAGCGGCTGCAAGGGCAGCAAAAGTGGCGTAGTAGCCGAAGCGTGAGGACGTGGGTTCAGTACCAGTAGCATAGCCGCGGCGGGATGAGGATTGGAACGTCTGGCGTTGGAGGGAGAGGCGAGCGCTGGTTCAGTTGAGACTTCGGAAGGCACATGAATATCGAGGGATCCAATGCCGCATCGCATACATTTAGCAGTACGAATAATGCTATACGGTAGCGATGTTGAGTGCAAAGTTCGTCCTATTGCTCAACCATTGCTCTTGCGGTGTATCCACTTCTGGCTTAAGCACCCATTTATGACTTAAGTATTCGCTTTTATTCTACTCTCTAGCATCTATTCTAATCTTATTAATTAATAAAGTGAAAAGGCTTTAATAATAGATAAGCTACCGCTACTGCCTATCGATTTTAGAAAATTATATACTCTAAGATAGATTAGAGATTTATTCTAGATTCTTAATTTAAATATAGTTTCTAAAATAAGCTAAGTCGTTTAATATAGCTACTTACGATACTACTCTCTTTATACTCTTATCTTATTATATATAACGCTATAATAAAGTTATTAGAATTTATAAAAGTTCGCTAAGCTAATATATTTATATTATCGATAATCTTCGCTAAACGATTATCTATTTATCGAAATTAAGAGAATATAGCTATTAATAACGAAGTAAGACGAAGAAAGAAGAAATTATATAAGAGAGCTCGGGGGGCGATTAAGAAGATTTATATATTATATATTTTATATAAGATTAATATTATTTTAATAATTATTTTAAGTAGTAAGTATTATAAGTATAGATTTAATAATATAATAACTTAGCTATTAGCGCCTTAGATCGTACGCTTATCTTTATATTTTATATATATATAAAGTAATATTAACGTAATATTAGAAATTTAAAAGTCTATTATTAGAATCTTCTTCTTTTTATAATATCGAGAATATCGATAATATTTCGAAGTTAATTAACTTAAATATGAATATCTCTTCTTTTTTCGAATAATTATATCGCGAGATAGCTATATTATAAAGTACTTATTCGTATTAGAGAAGTAAGAATTTATTAATAATAACTTAAATATCTCGACTAGAATTTTCTTAAGAATTTATAAAGAGTATAAAAGTTAGCGTTATATCTTAAATTACCCTCTGTAATAATCGAGAGAATATCGTCGTTATATATCTCGAATTATATTTTTATCGATAAATCGTTAATAGCTAACGTTAATTATAACGAAAAGAAGAGAAAGCTAGATTTAGATACGGTTACCGCTTCTAATCCTTAAGCGAAGATTTATATTATATTATCTTTAGAATAGTATTATCTACTTTCTACTCTCTTCTTCTAGCTCTACTTATTTAACTACTACTTTTAGTCTCTAATTTTATTTTATAAATCCGTTAATTTCCTCGTTCTAGCTATCTTTAGAAATATATATATCTTCTTATAAAGCTTATTATAAAGAGGCTTAGCGATATATATTATTAATCTATAATATAATATTTAATACTAAGATTAGTATAGATTAAATCTTATTATTAACTCTTAATTATATTAATATAAATAGATTATTTAAGCTATTATAGTGCGAGATCGTTTTTTAATTAAATAGTCTTAATTAAGATTTTATTTCTATTAATTTCGAAAGCTAAGATCGAGAATTCTAAATCTTATATTATATACTTTTAACGAAAGATAAATAAGAGTTTATAAGTTTAAGAAGAGAAGATTTAATATTACGTTCTAACGGGCGCGATAATATTACATTCTTTATATAACGAATTAATAATATCGATTAAGCGTTTCGTTATATCGAATAGAGTTCGCGAGATATAATATTATTTCTTAAGTTTACTACGTCTAAGTCTAAATTCGTCTTATCTATATTCTTTACTTCGATTAGTTTATCGAGAATAAACCCCTCTAATAATATTAATAATAAATCTCGATTTTAGATATCTTTAGACTTAAAGCTCTTATTTCGCGCTAAGATTATATTTAATATTAAGATTCGAGATTCGATATAACTAAGCTCTACTTCTACTATCGATCTTTTCGAAGTATACTTTAAGTTATAGAATCGCTTCTCTAGCTTAGATAGTTTATATTCTCGATATTACTTTATTCTAATATCGAAATCTATATATATATCTTAATACTTACTACTTCTTTATATAATTATATATTTCTTAAAATCTAATTACTTTTTAAGTTCTCTTATTATATATCTTAAATAATTATTAAATTTAGTAATATAGATAGCGTTAATTCTAAAGTCTAATCTTCGAATAATAATAGAGATAGAAAAATCTATAATTTTAATAAATTCTAAAAGCTCTAACTCTTTTGCTGGCTCTTATACTAGCTCTTATATTAACTTTCAGCTACGTAGTCTATTCTCTAAATTACTTAGATCGTATCTTCGATATAACTCTATCTTAATTTAGAAATCTATATATAAATCTTTATATCTAAACTCTCGTCTAATCTCGAATATTTCGATATGTAACTAATCGGATACTTATCTAACTCTGATTCGAAAGTCTAACTTGCGTATTAGAATAGGTTAAGTAAGCGTATTAATAACGAAGAATCTAGAAAGCTACTAGGCGAAGTAATTATGAATAGACCCTTATATAAATTAAGGGTGATATTATATCTACTTAGAAACGCTATTAATATACTCTATAGACTCGCTGTAATTATTTCGCTAAATTTTTAATCTATAATCTACTAATGATTATAGCTTCTACTTTAGTTCGAAATACTTATAGATTATTTATTTATGCTCGAAGCTAATTCAAGAGCTCGAAGAAGTAATATCTACTAAAGATGAAAGGATCTCGATCTTAATACGTTATTTTATTAGCTATAGAAGATATTTAATATCTCTAAAATTCTTATTAATTAGTATTAGTATCTGACTAGCGTTAAGAAAGTAATCTTCTTTTTATATTAATATAATTTTATCTTTAATATTTATCTAAATATATTTACTATTAAAGTTAATTATCTTAATAAAGATCGATTAGTATATATAATATATCTTATTAAGAATAATATACTTTAGTTTTACTCTCGTTCTCGTCGTCTAGATTCTCTATTAGTAATACTCTTATATTATCGTAAATATTACGCTTTAATAAAGGCGTCTCGATTTTTTTTAAACTTACTTTCGCTACTAAGGGAGACGTCCTTTCTAAAGAAGACCTCGTTTATTTCTATATGAATTCTCGCGTGATTTATCTCGTAATATAAAGCACTCTCGAGATAGACTTTATAGCTTAAATAAGACTTATAATATCTATTATTAGCGATATCTTATTAGAGTTTAGCTATAATATCTAATAAGACTATATTATAGAATTATATTTCTTATAATTAATATTAATACTACGCTTATTCTATTTAAATCTCTACTTATTATTTTAAAAGTTAAACGACTTAAAAGAATCTTTATTAACTTTAAATATAATTAATACTTATAATCTTTTTAATTATTCTTTTCTTCGAGTATTATCGAAGATAGATTAAACTATCTATTATCGCCGTTACTTACTTAGCGTTAAATTAAAAATATCTCTAGATTAAGAATTCTAGATATGTGTAAATCTCTAAGAATACTAGTTAACTAACGATAGAGATGGCCGATTATAAAAGTAAGTTCCCTCTCGACGATTACGCTTCGACGAAGCCACTTCGATTATTTTCGATATATCTTCTATATCGTAAAATTCTAATAAAATACCCCTATCTAATTGAGTATATTAAAGAAATTACGTTATAACGAATTTAATCCTTATTACGTCGTTCTAATCGATCGTCTTTTCTATAGATATTATATATTTAATATTAATAGTTAAGATTTCGTAAAATTCTAGACGATATATTTTCTCTAAGTAATTACTTATAGATCTTCGATATTAATAATCTATTCTTAGTATCTTAACTGAGATGAGATTTATTAAAGTATTCCCTTCTTCTTTTTCTTTCTCGGCTTTTTAAATAATATCTTAATACTAAGACTTACTCTTACACTCTCGCGTTAACTAAAAAAGATCGTATTTATATTATAATATAATTACTTCTAATAATTATATATTAATTATAGCTATATAATAATAACGTTCTTAAATCTCGAGAGCGATATATTTATTTAATTCGTAGAAGATTTTTAAGAAGAAATCGTTTTTTATAAATTCGAAGTCGACGAGTTTAATAATAAAGGGTATTCGAGATTGAACGAGAATGTTTATCGACTTAATATCTCGATACGCTAGAGGTGAAGAGTGGGAATATAAATAGTTAAGAGCCTAAAGTTCTTAAAAAAGAATTTAAAGAGTTTCTTCTTTAGTGATGAAATCTTAGTAGGTTAAGCTTTTAAGAGATAGATATTTTATTACTAATAAAGATTTCTACTTCTTTAAGAACTTCACGAATTTCACAATATACTTCTTTGCGAAAAGTTAGATATGAACTAATCTTTAGATTAATAATTACACTTATATATAAAAGACTTATTAAGATATTAACCTTCTTCTTTTAATTATCGTAATAAAACTCTTTAATAGCGTATACGTCGTTTATATTTATATTAACGATCTTATAAATTATATTAAAGCTATCGCGTTTAAGCTCTTTTTTTAATAAATAAATAGATTATTATCTAAAAGGCTTTTGTCTGGGAGACTCTTATCTGAGAGACTCTTATTTGGAAGAATGTTGTGTAGTGAGTATCGCGGTTATTTACTAGCTTTTCATGTCTAGCTAACTAAGTAAAGAGAGAGTATTTCGACAATCTTCAAAGTAGGCGTTACGATGTGCCATATACTCAGCTAGATAAAATTCGCGATTTTTCAGCCACTCGACCTTGAAGATTAGATTACTTATTATTATTTAAATATTCTTATATATATCGAAGAGGATTTAGATAAACTAGTTTCGGCGAGAAGAGTCCTCGTCGTTATAATCGACTTATACTTCTTTTCGACATATATTCTTAAATATAATCTCTCCTCGCTTATTAAATATAATATAAAATTATTAACTACTAAATTCGATACCTCGCTTATCTAGAAAGATATCGCAGATTCGTAAATTACTTTCGAATATAAAGCCTTTCTTAAGATTCTTCGACTTATTATCTAAAGTTAATTATATTTAAGATCTAGACTAATCTATAGCGAGAGTACTTTCTCGACTTAAAATATCTACTATAAACTTAGACGTAGATAGATATCGATCTTAATTCTACGCTCTATTTCACGCTCTTTTAATCGTTATATCGTATATCTTTAGTATTATAATAAGCCTATAATTATTTAAGTTTATCTTAAGAATTTTTAATTAAAAGAATAAAGCGATAAATCTTTAGTAGATGCTTATTTAAAGAATAAGTTCTTTTAATTAGATATATCTTATCTACTTAACCTTCGTATACTACTTAGTCTTTCTACTACTATATTTAATAGAGAATAATAATAGATATTACGATATCTTAGTATAAAGATAAAGAATTTAATTAGCTTCTCTAGCGTCTACTATATCGAAGAATTTCACTCTCGAGTTAATCTAAGTTCGTGTAAATAGCTAGAGTTTAATATACGACTATACTTTATTAAATAACTAGATTAAAGATTACTCTATTATCTTTTAGACTTAACTATAAACGTCTCGCACTTTATATATTATAAGTTAGAGAAGGTTACTCGTTTTAGAATCGCTCTTTAATACGAAAGACGATTGGCTGAGATATTATTCGAGCGCCGATCGCTTTATCAATAGCTTTATTTTTCATTACTCTACTACTTTACTACTCTATTACTTTACTAATTCTCATTTTCACATCTCTAAGTACGATAGCGTTCTCTTTCTTATCTATTATAAAGATTCTAGTAAAAGATCTATATAAGCCGGAAGTTATAGCGGCGATTGCGAAAATCGAGTGAGAAAGATAAGTTTTCTTACCTCTGAATAGTGATATTAATATTCTTTTTCTTCTTAGATTCTTTAAAATAGAGGATAAGTCGAATATAACTATAGAGATATAGAAGAAGTTACGATAAGAAGTGTAATTTAAGAGACTTAAATCTTTTAAATTTAAGATCGTAAAACTAATACTTTATTTTACTTTTAGAGATATAACTCGTAATATATATTACACTTAATCTGTGAATTCGAAAGACCTTAAAGCGAAACTTCGATAAGAAGACTTTAAACTTCTAGTCTCGATTAGTTCTCTTAACATAGACGATAATATTAACGCTTCGAGAAAATTTAGAAATTATTTCTCTAGATTAAGCGAACCTCTAATTTCTCTCTCTAATTACTTTCGTAGCTTAAGTTAAACTTCAGTTAAAGATTTTAAAAAAGAGTTAAAGCGATATAAAGTCGAAGTTAAGTAAGTATACGATACTCTAATAAAGATGAGTGGAAAGACCGACTCGTCCGATCCGACTAACACCACTCTGGACGAAAGTCTCTATCGGTGGAGAAATTTGGTATCGATACGCTGAATAATACGAGGAAATTTTTTACGACGGCTGGTATGGCTATAAACCAGGTCCTAATAATTCTTTAACGGAGGCCGATTTTATTCGGGGGCACTGGAGATAAGAAAGAGGTCGATGTAATGAAGAACTACGACGGTGGCAGGGTTTTCTCGACACTCAGCAACGGAGATGTGAGTATCATCCGGAATTTGCAAGAGAGGAGGATATGGAACGGCAGCGGTACCCACAAGGTCCAGAGCTCACAGCAAGTCTGAAGAAGTTGAAGGACTGGAAGAAGTATCAGACCTATTTTCAAAGATGGATCGATCGGTTGAAGAGGGGAATGGAAAGGGCTCGACGAGCGGTGGAAGCAATATAGCGAACAGATTCTGAAGTATATGTGAACAAGCGTGGGAGAGACGACAAAAGGGAATAGCTGAGAACAATAGAAAGATAGCGGGAAAAGCTCCTAGCCGAGGAGAAACGGTTGAAATAAATCAAGAAGCAGCTTTTAGCGGTTCTTTCGGAATACGCTGCGTTCTTAATGAAATTACTGATATCTCGTCGTCAGATAAAGAAGAGGAGCGAGCTGGAAGCGAGATAAGTTTATAACACTCTAATGGATACGGGTAGGAGATTAAGCCGTCCGATTCGGCCGGTATCTAATGTCTATAATGCCGAACACACGGATGAATATATTTACGTCTTTTATTACTAAGAGAGTAAATATAGCTAATTCGAGGAAGAATTGAGGGAATAAAAGAAATTTTTAAACTATCGATAGAAGAAAGAAATAGATGAGAAAATAGAGGTATAGCTGGAAGAACGATAATCTGCAGAGAGGCCGACTCAAGTGGACCTCTGGAAAGACTATCGGGTCTATCAGCAATTAGAGGTCGATAATATTAAGCAGTAAGTGGAATTCTGGCGGCGGCAGGTGGTAGAATTCCAGGATACAGAAAATCATTGCGTACTACAAGGGTGGGCAAGTATAGTCAAGCGATATCATTCCGAGGCTAAGAACGCGCGATCTTACGCCGAAGAAGCGCGAAAGTAAGTCGAATCTTTAGAGTTGCGGTTGAAATGGGCAGAACAACAGCTTTCAGCCTTTCTCGCCGAATGCGCCGTCTCGACGACGGAAGTATCTACATTAAACCCTCTCGAGGATTAAGCTATGCCACCGAAAAGAGCATCGAAGTTAAGTTAAACCACGCTTAAGAACCTTAAATTCAATCGATTTAGTAGATCTACCCTGCGAGGTAATTAAAAATCGAATAAAAATAAAAAGCGTGCTTTAGCAAATTATGCGCTTAGTTTAATGCATTTATTAAAAGTATTAAAAGCCGTCGAAAGAAAAATAACTTATCGTTAACGATTATTAAAGATTCTTATAGAGCGTAATAATAATTAAAACTAAGGTCTTAATATAACGATATTATTATCTTTATTTATTAATATTACTTCGCGTAGAAGCCGTCGATTATCTATTAATTAAAAGAGATTTAATATATTAAAAGTAAATTTAGTTATTAAATTAGAAAGAAATATATAATCTTAATTTATCGAGATTATACTACGTAGAAGCGATCGAATATTAAAATAAAAAGAGAGAAGAAGTATATTAATTTCTAATACGAAGTTAAGCTTAGTCGTAATCTTATAAATAGCTTTATTATTATAATCTAAATCTAAAGATTATATTATAAGTATTAAACTAGATAGAAGTTAGAGGAAATTACGTAAAATATTTAAGATATAGAGAAAGCGTCTTTTATAAAAGAGGGCTAAGATTTATACTTAAGAATAAGATTATTTCGAATCGATTTTAATCTTAGATAAGTAGAAAGATATAGTATTACGTTATATTATTATTAAGTATTCTAGTTTAATCCTCTGTTTCGAGTAAGTAGATAGATAGTACTATAAAAGTCTATGAGTCTTCTTAACTTCATAGCTTCAACTAACGCCCATATTTCTTCCCTTATCTTTTCCTCCGTTTAACGAAGATATTAGACGAAGATAGAGCCTCTATTAGTAAATCTAAGGGCTACTTAGAAAAGGTAATACTTCTACTAGAAATATTTAACTGTTAAATTAGCTTTTATATCTATTAGATTTAAATCTCGAAGAATAGATTCGCTTTAAAGAAGCTAGCGACTAAGGATTTACATAAACTTTAATCTAACGCAGACGTGTCTATTAGAAAAGATTCTTCTAATAAGATTATAGAGTAGCTGTTTTAAGGTCTGAAGGTGAACGAGAAATAATAGCTAAGTTGCGAAGCTGTAACTTTCTTTTTCAGAAGACGACGAGGCTATTATTCGATAAACGCCGAGACCGAGATAACAAATTTTCGAAATCAATTCAACTTTGTATATAAATTTATAACTCTACTATAGACGATCGGATATATTTTCTAGTATAGATTGACTAAACTAAGTTTTAGAATAAAAAATTATAATTTGAGAGTACAAAGATAGAAATACTAGAGGGGTTTTTGTTGGATTATGAAGAGCAAATTTGGTAGGAAACAATTGTTTACTATGTATAGTAGCTTAGGGCTAGGGCTAATCCTCGGCGCTATACCTAATTTGGAAGGATTAGGTTCTGAATGACTGAAGTAAAATGCATGTGATTGGTTTCCTGCCTAGGGGGAGATCCACCAGTACCCATGTGCCTGCTGCAATGAGATCGTGGAGCTGTTTGGCAATAGCGAACTTCCACCAGCGTGCATGTGGTCCTGTAATTGCCTCGTGATACGTCTGCGGCTCGAGTATAGCCGTGGCTATTTGTGCCTTTTCACCGTACCGTTTGAAGAAATCGTGAGGATCAAACAGCTTCCTTTCTCTCTGTGGGCGCGATGACGCGGCTGTTGCGGGGGTAGGCTGTCGCTTGGATCGTCGTGCAGCAGCTGGTATAGGAGGAGGTGGTATGGAGGGGCCTGCTGGTGCCTCATCAGTGTCATGAGGTGATTCCATACCTGGTGGGACATTGTCAGTATTGGAAGGAGAGATTTCCTTAAACTCTCCTGTCATGCCAGCCGGTGGCAGCGTAGCAGTCCTGATCTAGCTATCTCATAGCTCTTCAAAATGTCTACTGTACTCTGTATTGTTGACCACCACATCGACACAGCCGGACTTATCAAGTGCGGTTGCAAAGACTGATTAGCTGTCGCTGAGCTCTGTGATGGTGAGCTTGATGGCGTGGTAATTCTTTAGGGTAGTGTGTTCGAAGAAGGGGATCGTTGGTCTGCGCGCGGTGGCGACTGCACTATCGCCGGTGTCAACTTCTTGCACAAGATGTTATGAAGAAGACACACGTGTCTTCATTTACCGCCCTTTCCGGTGCAGCTTAATCACAAAATGTCGAACAAAAAATCTTTTCTCCCAGAACTCATGTCACTAAAGCTTCATGTAGGTCCTGGGCGTGTTGGACTAATACGGTCTTCGCGAGGGGCGTTCCTAAGCGGGAGCTTCCGGGACTAACCGAGTGTTGCTCTATAAGAAGTCTAGGCTAAAAATAGCTGGCAGTGAGCGATTAAGATCGTCATTGCCAGTCTTTCTGAGATTTTCAACGTTAAAGCTCTGGCAAGTTGCTGAGACTGAACTCACTTTTGAATCGATTACAATAATGGGGAATTCGCTAGCTCAGACACCTAGGCGTTCTTTACTAACTAGTTATCAGATATAACTAAATCAGCTTCCATCTATAAAGGAGAATTAATGAATATACTGAGATAACGGTATTATCCTATAGTTATAGATTTTCTCGAAATATATTTAGATAGTCTTTGACGCTCGTTTAACTTAGAAAATAAAGAGAATTAAGTAAATTAGAGCTTAGCTCGTTTCTAGACTAACTTCGTAATAACATTTAGAAAATTACTCGAATGCGCTTCTCCAACTCCTTATATTAACGACTATCTATATTATATTATACTACGAAGCGAATCTAATAGCTTAACGCTTTCCCACTATACTTGAATATAGAAGACTTACTACGCCTTTCGAATACTAAGAAGATAAAGTTTAAGCGATTTATATCTTAAATTAGAGTCTTCTATTAAGTTTATTAGCTTAGATATTTATACTATTAAAGACGACTAGTAGTCTTCTTAAATTTCTAATCTTATATTATAGAGAATAAGAGATAGAATCGTAAATAGTATTTAATATTATATCGAAAGAGGTTTAGACTATATAATTAATATTAAAAAGATATAAATCGCTCTATAATTATATGCTAAGTAAACTTTAATAAATAAATAAATTCTTCTTAGCGTTATAGAAGTATAATATTAATAAAAATTATTATAAGTATTAGATTCGACTAATCTTTATATACTTTTCGATTCGCCGTTAGTATACTAATATCTACGTACGATATATTTATAGAGCTTATTTCTTAGAAGATTAAATTTTAGCTAAAGAGCGTTTCTCGTAAGAATATAAATATTGCTATCGTTCTTAATCTAGTTAGATTAGAGTCTATCTCGAATATCTATCTCTATAAATATAAAGTTATTAATAAATATTATCTTAAGTATATATTAGACGTCTTCTTTATATACGCTAGTTCTTAATATTCTTCTATTATAATTAAGACGTCGTATTTATAGCGCTAGAAAGAGTTAATAAGACTAACTAATAAATAATATTCGATTTCGATAAAAATATCGCTATAATTCTTAGGCTCGATATTGAATATAACGTTAGATTAAAGAAGATATCGCTTTTTATCTAACGACTTCGATTAATATCGAATTCGAAGAAGAAAGAAGCTACTCTTTTAAAGACGTTTAGTATTCGAAAAGTAGATATAATAACTTCTTTACTTACTTATTATTAATCGATATCTATATTAATTTAATACTAATAATCTTACTTTTAATAGATATTTCGTATTAACGACGAAACTATCGTTTTAGAATAAGAATTATTTCTTCGACTTAGTAATTTCGCGCTAGAAACTTACTTTATCGATATATCTTAATAAATATAAAGTATAATTATTATTTAGATTATATACGAATAACTCTATTCTTTTCTATATAATATCGAGACTAGATATAATATTAAACGAGCGTAATAAGATATATAATCTAATCTCTTATTTAACTATCGAAAGAGATATCGATAAGTTATATCGCCTAAAGCTCCGAGTCTAGAAAGAGAGATAGAATTTATTAGATATAAGATAGAAGAAGTCGTAAGATCTAAGATAAGAGATCTAATATGAGAGTAACTATCTATAGATATTAGAGTAATAAATGAATCGAGTAAATAATATAAGTACGACTTAGCTCAGCTCTATTCGAAAATTCTATAGATCTAAGCAGATATCTAGTAACAAGTAGAGTTCATTTCTAATGCTGTGTCTGAAGAGTATAGGCCCTAGAAGATCTAACTTAGAAGAGCTAGTCTATACACGATTGTTTTTCAAGAAAAGCGAGAACCTATTCTTAATTTTTTTTAGGGGGTGGGAAGGGAGAGGGGGGACCTATAATTAGGTTTTGTGGGGTTTTAGGGTGCCACATTTGGTCTCACCCAAAGTAGATTTTTGTTAAAGTGAAACGTGTATGAGTCCGATGATCTATTTTGTAGTGGGAGTTTTGGATGGATATTTAAAAGTGAACCCACCCCCTCGTGGTGTTGGAGGGAAGAGACGGTATACCTTGTCCTGGCAGGTTCCTGCTCTTCAATCGTGCTTCAGCTTGTCTAAGTCGAGTTCACTTCAAAATACCACGAGTCCACCGAGTGGGAACGGCAAGCATCGCGTTGGATACGGTGGATGACACGGTATTCGAGAGCCGCATAGGGATCTGGAACGTATCGTAGTATGCCCTTGGAAGCCTAGCATCCGAGATTTACTCGGACGTGAGCTTAACCGAAACTCGATATGACCAGTCGACCCGGCAGCGTAGGTACCATACTCAGCGCCCCATAACGTCTTCGATTACCTTCATCGGAGCCCTTAGTGGTGTTACACACCAAGGCACAGCCTTATAAATGTCTAAACCGCGAATGTACGCTATTTAATCTTTCAGCGATAGAATTCGTATTATCGATAATGCACGATAGCTAAAGCGGGTTATACTAGTAAACTAGTTTCCGCACGCTATTATCGTCGCAGATATGCCTCTTTATATTAGAGCCTAGGTTCTCTATAGATAACTTATAAGACTTTAAATCTCCTACTAGACCTCTTCTTAACTTAAGACGCTTTTATAAATTATCGATTTAAGGAGACTTTAGATAGAAGATTCGTTTAAGCTCTAATCGAAGTTCTATAACTAGAGCTAATAAATGTATTAACGTCTAAGATAAGCTCGTTAATTAACGTCTCAGATTCTGGATAAGTAACCTCGTTCGATAATAATGATATAAAGCTCTACGTGGATGAAATCAAATCTAAGTGTTCCGTATCTGGCATCTTGCCGTTTACCGCAATCATAAGTTCTTTTTATTTCTCTTTCGCCTAATCCCTAGCATTCCTTAAAGCGCTAGCACCTTATCGGAAAGCCTCTGAGTTATCAGTCATTTTCCAACCGTTGAGCTGGGTCATCCGATACTTAATTGAATTTTAGGAATCATTGAATGAAGTAGAATGCGTAGAATAGATCGTGAGGTCACCCGAACCGCCATAATAAGTCGATGTGATCGTATACGCGTTATTGTCGTAAGCTGTCCCTAGGTCAACGTATAACCGAAGCTTATGCATCCCACGGGCACCTAAAGCACCGTCATATAAAGCTTGTCGCTTGCACACGGCGGTATTCCCATTAAGTCCTTTCCCCTTCGTGAAGAAGTTGGCCAAGCACGGTGTAGCGGTATTCGTCGACGGCACGATATAGGGCTCTAGCTCTTCTTGAATCTACTTATTAAGATTCATCAGACGGCTTTCATTGTAGAAGTCTGGCTTGGTTTTGGTAATAGAGCCATCGGTTAGGTGTTTGAGGTTTTCGAAGAGAAGGTTCTTTTGGGATGGAATGTCGGCGGTGTCAGCAATGATCGGGAATGTCTTGCTTATTACTGTGGCTTCAGTCAATGCTTCTTCGTTGGTCTACTGGAAGGTTTCAAATGCGGTCTCAGAGAAGCGCGAGGGGGAAAGAGACGGCCTTGGTTGAGTAATTCTCCCATTGATTTCCGCCTAATTGCTTGGTTTCTGAGCGCGATTGTTTATGTGTATGCCATAATCAATGAGATGCTACTCGAAGGCGAGGTTATATGTAGAGGATTTCTTCGTCTTTAAGGAAATATCTGATTCTCTTCCAGTCTTAGCTCGTTTCCTAGAATCTAATTGACTTGACGATATCGTTCGATTAAAAGAAATAGCGGTTTCGGGTTCTGGATATTGATATACAGTTAGAAGATAATTTTAAAAAGATTAAATAGAACTTATAGCTCTTAGATACTTAAGACTTAGTTTATCGTATCTAGCGAAGCGCTTAAGCTATATAAGGTTAATATCTTTCTTATTAATTCGATTAGACGGTGAAGGAATAGTAGATTACTTCGCTCTTCGATTAAATTCTTAAAGAGTACGAGAAGTTAGCTACTGCTATAATAAATTATCTTAAAACTAGCTAAGTATTCTATATCGTTATTACTTCTCGAGCTTTTATTATTTAACGATAGATGGCGATAAAGAGTTAATCGTAGGCTCTGCTTTAATATATAGCTACCGCTTTCGACTACGGAGTATTAGAGTTTTCTCTAAAGATAATAAATCTTAGACTTATAATACGTCTTTTTCTAGTAAATAATAAATAATCAAGAACGAGATATAGATAGCGCGCGCTTTCGACGACTATGCTAGCGTATAAGTCATTTTAAATTATAGAGTTAATATTCAATTAACGAAATAACTACTATCTAGAGAATATTAAATATATCTTATACGCCGATAAGCACTTACTTCTTTTAATCTTCATTCTATTAAAATAATGCGTACTCTATTTACTATAGCTTCTATTAGATTTATAAATAAGAAACTTAATAAGTAAGTTATATTCTTCGATCTTATATCTTCTCTATCTTAAAAAGGCTCTATCGATAAGACGTAGTTACGATATACTAATAGCTTATCTATATTAGAATCTACGTATAGTCGATAAATATTAGCTATAAAGGAGGGTCGATAAGGGCGGCTTCGGCGCTATCTATATAGATAAGATAGATGTAGAAACCCTTAGCTACGTCTTAAAGCTTATTACATATAAGAAATTAATATTAATATCGACGAAGATATCGCTATTAAACTTAAATACGTATCTATTAACCTCTTCTTACTAAAAGATAAAGTCGATATCTATCGATTTCTTTCTAGTAGTATTAATATTTTATAAGTTTACGCTTATAAGATAAAGTATAAATATAATACTATAGTATTTAATCTTCTAGGGCCGAGTCTAAAAAATCTTTTCAACTTCTACGATCGTAAATTCTCTCTTAAGACTATATTAATGCTCGTCGATTAGCTTCTTTACTATCTCGAATATATCTATTTTAAGAGTATCATTTATCGAGATATTAAATCGGAGAATTTCTTGATAAGTATAGAAAAGTAGAGGAATCTAATTTATGTGACGGATCTAGAACTCGCTATCGAACGCCTTACTGCTTAGATTAATATCGATTATATTCGAAATTTACATTTAATTAGCACGGCTCGTTTTATTAGCGTTAATGATTATTTAGATATTAGTAAGTATAATATCCTCGATTCTTACTACGTAAAGACTAACGTCTAGTTAAATGCAATATTACTATAATAATTTGAAATCCCTCGAGTATATACTTCTCTACTTTCTTCGAGGCTCTCTCTTATAATAAAATCTTATAGCCATAGATTAGACGTAAAAGAAAGAGCTTATCTTAAAGAAAAAGAGAAGGATTAATACAGAGGATCTATGCGAGGATCTCCCTCAGGAATTGCGGTTTATTTCGACTATATCCGTTCTCTTGGTTTTGACGAGAAACCGAAATATTCCAATCTACGCAAAATCTTCCGTGATCTCTTCGTGCGTGAGGGCTTCGATTATGATCATATATATAATTAGACAGTCCTCGAATATCTGATAGCGATGCAGCGCAGGGAAGAACTGAAAAGCGAGGATGCCTTAGCGAAGGACGGGTTATAAGGGAGCTTTTTGGGGTTTACGGCTAGATGAAGACAGTGTGCTACCTCACTCAGAGCCTGTATACGCGGTTGCTTGAGGATAACTAAGACTGCATCACGTACCAAGATGGATCTCTCGGTATCGGACCCAGTTTGTGTTGCAGTTGAGGCTGTTGACCTGAACCTCCGGTAAGGCGCTAGGTCACATGATAGTAGCTTTTTGCGAATACTGCGAGCCGCCGATTACATGCATGCAAGAGCTGGGAATGGTCGTTTTTCCAGGGGGAAAACGGTGGCTGAGAAGGGCTGAGGAGGATTGAGAGCTTTACTCGATGATGACTGAGGTACTTGAAAAGGCAAGAGCAGACCCGCAAGTTGTGAGCTACGGGATTATGCATAGTGTTCATAGTACGAATACCATTCAGTCCTTTGCATGTGTCTTGAGAGACTAATATCGTTGCTTCGATCCAATGACGCAAATTGTCTCCAATTTCTGACAGAGATCAATACGGGTCAGCTACAGCTTTCTTACTGCTAGACGATCATGGGAACTCAGCCGAAGGAGGAGTGCTACTAACTGACTCGAAGACGGTCTTTCCAGTAGCGTATGCTTTGCCTTCAATCACTAGGATCGGAAATCGAACGTTTAGGAAGTTTTGCGTAGGATCGGAGCAAAGTTTGTCCTCGCGTTGCAAGAATTTTAGGAGATCGTCGGCCTTGTATTTGCTGAGCCCACGTTTTATCAGTGCGCTAGCTACCGTCGAGTGACGAAGGCCGATAGTAAAGTCCGGACGAGGAGTCTTAACCGCGCCGTCCTGTCGTGACTGAGGTAAAGCGACAGGGGACGGAGCTGTAGGCGGCGGCATAGACGACTGCGATGCATCCGGAGTGCAAGAAGCCCAATAAGTCTGCTAATGCGCGAGAATCTCACGCATCTTACGAACGACTTCTAGATTTGTCTAGTAACTGGTACTCAAAATCCTTCTCAACCCTCCTCTTCACCCCGCGTGTCTGTTTTTCAAACGGACCCTTAGCCTTCGTTCGACCCGACGTCCAACGGTTGGACCGCCTTGCATTGGTCCCCATGGCACATTTCTCACCTTTTGCTTTCTCATTCTCATCCTTGACAGGAGACTGCCTGCCTGCTGCAGTGCCTGCCCCACCTGCTTTCTGCTCTACCTCCGGCCTAACAACCGTGATATCCAGCCCTCCAGCCTCTAAAACCGCCTTCGTCTTCTGCCACTCGACACCAAACCTTCCGCTGTTGATCCTTACCGGACAGCATTTGCCCACCTCTTCGCCCGCTGCTCTCATCTCTGCAACTTGTTTCGCTAGGATTTCGAGCGCCTTTCTTGTGTTTTCCACTATTTCCTCCGGGGGCGAGACCCTTTTTCCGTAGTCGAGAGAGGTGAATAGGCAGGCTATGTAGTGAGGTGTCTTAGATGCTTGTCGCTGGTTTGTTGCAGTGGGTGGAGGAATGAGTAGGGCTGTGCCTACGAGATTGGCTTGGTGTTGTTTGACGGAGAGCTTGGAGCCCGTGGGCGGTGAGAGGCAGTATGCTTGATATTGGCGGAAGGCGTAGGGGTACTTCTCTTTGAAAGCGACGGCTACCCCGGAGCCCCTGTGGCAATACGAGCAGAGGCGTCAAGTGGCAACATGAGCAGAGGCGTTATGTGGCAATACAAACAAAGGCGTCATGTGACAACATGAGCCAGGGTTTTAAGAAGAGCAGTAGCAGCATGATCGTGCATTACGGCCTTAGTGCATCAGCGGAGAAACAAATGAAAGACGCAATTGCTCGAGATCAGCTAATCAAAGAGCATGATATCTTATGCTTTGAGATGGAAGCGGCAGGGTTCATGAATAACTTCCCGTGCGTTGTGATTCGAGGCATTTACGCTTATTCGGATTCTCACAAAAACGATGCGTGGCAAGGGTACGTGGCGGTCTCGGCGGCGTCGTATGCCAAAGAACCTACCTTGTACCGTCTAGGTGAGGAAAACATCGGGTACTGCGACAAAAACTGTAACAAGCCCTAGCGAATAATATCCTGGGGAGAATGCATTCTGCAGGTCTCCCGGATGGTACCATAACCAGAAAGCCACAAACACGACGGCCCAGCCTTGTGTGATGAGAGCGAAAGTTGCCAATCTAGAAAGTGTCCAACCTTGCCGCGCCCAAATCCCGTATCCTTTCAATCCAAGCTTGGTGCCGGTCACGCGGTGTGGTATTCCAAGAATAAGTTGGCTAATATGATCAGTCACATGGCAATTTTTGTAACCATGGTAGTAGTCAATCAGCGCTCTTTCGGCCCGAAGTATGTGAATTTCTTTCTCTAGGTCCGGCGGGTCAATGTTGTAGGTGTACTCGTTTTGGTTGTTCAGGTTAGGCAGGACGTCGCCTTTACAGGTACAGATTACAGCTTCTTCTTCGTTATAGACGCGGGAGAGCTGCTCGACCAGTCAGTGAGCCATTTTGATCTGAGGTGAGCACCTCACTTTGACTAGTTTGATTTCAGTGCATGTCGTCATGGATAAGTACCATCTCCATCCACGAAGCTTTTTGTAGCTCTTACACAGCTCGTCGACGAAATCCTTCCCTTTCTTCTGTTCGATGCAGATATGGTGCAGAAAAGTTCTCCGCGGTGCGGAATCTACACACCAGTGAACATATTTCGTAGTCGGAGTGGCGTTCGAAACAATCGTCGCGTTCTGTCCAGACCCTTGGCTTGCGGGAGACGCGCGCTTCTTCCTCGTACGTATTTGTTGCAAGCTGGTGAATTTCCCCATCAGAGCGGACGTCCATGCTTTTAACCCACGACTATCACTCGAATCAGCGAGCGGTTCATTATTGGTCGGCAATATGGGAGGTTGGCCAGCTGTGACTTTCGCAGGGCTTGTGTCGCACATCTGACGATATCTTCGTGCTTTAGCACAAGAGACGTCTGCGTATGTTTCATCACCACATTCCTTGCTCTCTGGTTAGTACTGCTCTCCAAGTGAGGAATTGATCTGTGACCTACGCAAATCCAGATAATGCGAATCTTGCTAGATGACAGGTGCTTTCTTGGCTGTTTCAACGGCCACCAGAGTATAGGCATTCCGAGCTTCTCTTCTGCTGCGATTTTCAATTTATCGATATTGGTCAGTCGAGGCACATTACTCGAGTGCTCAAAGCGGACCCGCTCTCTGCCATTCCATAACGTTTTCGTCCACATAGCTTCGTTCCTAAAGGGATTTATAAAGTCTTCAAACTCCTCCTTGAAACGCGCGAAGGCATCGCTTGACTTCAAAAATAGCTTCACTGCATCAATGTTCAATTGCACCGTTTGCTGTTTGTCTTTGTCCTCATCCTCGGAATCGCTTGAGGCATCGCTCCCACCATCATTCAAATCCTTACCAAAGGAGGTCCAATGATCATCAATGGTTTCGGTAGCCAAAGCTGGTGTCTCTTCAGATTCGAGATTTATAGTAGGCTTTTCCATTTGTTGTTGAAGGTAAAGTTCAAGCCTTTCTTGTTTTGTCGCCTCCTGCTGTCCAACTTCCTCCCCTGCCTGCTCTTGTCTCTCTTCCCCTGATGAAATGGTTGTAATGCCTTGCGCTATCTTGTCAATGATAGCCTGATCGCGTCTGCGGCTAAAAAAAAAATTGGCTGCTTTTTTCTCTGCTGGTGTGTTCGCAGCCATTACGAGCCTTCGTCCAAGCCATTTCAAAAGTCGGGCACCTTTCCTCGAAACTCTATCTCGATCTTGCTTGGTGAAAGCCTCAGCAAATAGACACCGAAGCTTTTCATCACTCATGAAGACAGCTATGACCCCGTCCAAGGCAGCCGCCGATATATCACTAGCTGAGGCATATGATGAGGCTGACGATTTGCTGAACTCGGACCACGCCGAGGAGGCAATGCTCGTTGTTTCACTTGAGTCTGATTGATCACTATCCTTGAATGTAGATGAGCTGGGAAGTGTAGTTCTTTTCACTGCTTGTCTGTCAATCTCCTCGGCCGCCTCGTACTTCCGCTGATCCTGAAGCACCAGTGCCAGATTACTGACGCTGGTCAATGTCGAGGGATGCTCGACTCCCAGCACTTTCTCATACCCTTCCAGCGCTCGTCGGTTCATCTCCTCGGCCGCCTCGTACTTCCCCTGATACTGAAGCACCGATGCCAGATTACTGACGCTGGTCAATGTCGAGGGATGCTCGACTCCCAGCACTTTCTCTCTCCCTTCCAGCGCTCGTCGGTTCATCTCCTCGGCCGCCTCGTACTTGTTTTGATGGACCAGCGTCTCTGCTAAAACGCTCATGGTTTGCAATATACTAGGATGTTCTTTGCCTAATGTTCTTCCTTGAACCAATAAAGTTGATTGATGAATCTCTTCGGCCTCGCTATATCTTGATTGGTGACTCAATACCATCGCCAAGCCGTTCCGGTTGCGTACTATACTAGGATCGTCCTTTTCCCGCTCCTTTTCTCTCAACGTCAATATAGATCGGTATATTGATTCAGCTTCTCCATATTTTTCTTGAGAGTATAACGATAGTGCAAGACTATTCATGCAATGTAATGTGTCAGGATGCATTTCTCCCAGCTCTGTCTCCATCAAAGTTATTGTTTGCCGATACATCTGGTCAGCCTCCCCATTTCGAGAAACTTTAAAAATTATATTGGCCAAATCCATCATGCTTCTCAGGGTTGAATGATCCTTCTCCCCTAATTTACTCCTATGAGTCTCTACTAGGCGGTGACGCAGGCATTCTGATGCGCGATATCGCCCCTGGCGTTCATAGAATCTTGCAAACAAGCTGGCGGTGTTGCAGTTTGCGATATTGCCACCGAGCTTATCTTGCGACTTTGAGAACTTTTCATCGTTTGACATAGACACATCCATATGCGTTGTAAGCGCTGTCCTCTCCTCCAGACTTGTCGAAGAACGATCGCCGTATCTCTTGACACAGCACCCGAGAACTGTTATCGCTTCCTGCGTATACTCCTGGCGTTCCTTCTTCATCAATCGGAGCTGTAACCAATCTCGGATGACAGGATGCAAAGAGAGACTTGCCCCCTGATGGCCCGCCGCTGGGGAGATGCTTTGCAGCAGGCCCAGATCATCCGAATGTGCGATGATGTCCCAAAATTGATCAGCGCTCCATTCATCATCGCAGATAGAGTCGGAAGACTCATCATTGGAGCTACCGTCGAAACTTTGCATGCTCGCTTTATCGTTCTCCTCGTTGCTGTCCTCATTCCTATCTTCCTCGGCATCATCGCTCGTGCTGAAAATTTCTATCCATCGCACTTCACTACCATGCGCTCTCCGATAAAAACGGAACAAGGATTCGGAGATTTTGGTAGGAGCGAAGAAGGCAGACAAAGTCAGGAAGTGAGCTACGTCCGTTTTCCAAGGTTCGTTCCCTGAGATTAATTGCTGAAAGGACAATTCCCATGTTGTGAAAGCATTGATATGCTTATACTCCCAATTTTTTGGAGTATAAGTCAACACCTTTTTTCGCTCAGCCTCGTAGATTGCCAGAAAATCTCCTAGTCGATCTAGCAGTAGACGCTTGTATTTGATGTATGCCGCTGCTTGATCGATGGCGAGGGCAAGATTACCGAGACGCTCGACAATGCTTGATGCCGTGTCTCTATGACTTCTTTGTATATCATTATCATTGTAACCCCGAAGCAAAAGTCTTACACCGTCCTCCATCTCCATCGGTGGGATCTCGAGAAGCGTGCCGAGTCGACTGAGATCTCGATTGCGGCTGGTAAAAAGTACGTGACCATGCCCTTCTACCAATTTTGTTAGCAATTACTCGACTATGAACGTCGGACACAGCCTACTAGTCGGAAAGAATGACCTGATCTCAGTTGTGAAACTCTCAGGATCGTCGTAATTGTCAAAAACCAACAACCACGCTTCACTCCATCGCTCTAGATTGCCTGTGACCAGTCTTATCTGGGCAGCGCTATCACTTGTCTCGAACTTCGATGCTCCCGTTAGCTCGGCCGCAATCGTGCCGTACGATTGCGTGGCAGTCATCTCGGAATTGGCGTTGACCCAGAAGACACCACGGTATGTTTCTCGCCATTTTCGACAGTACTCTAACGCTATCTGGCTTTTCCCCTGTCCCCCGAGTGCGTGAAGGATTACACAGGGCGGTGGTCCATTTTGGTGGCCAAGGAAGTGTGACCGAACCGAGTCGAGCAGATTGCTACGGCCAATAAAGTCCTTGACACGTTCTCGTGGTACTAGAAAATGACTGTGCTGACTGGACGCCGTACCTTTTACTCATAGATTCGCAGTCAGCTATGAGCGAGCAGACATCGCACTTTACATTGACTGACAATTTTGACGCCTCTGGATCAGTTGGGGTGCTTCTGCACAGATTCTGGCAAGATTAGAGGACACAGAAACATAGTTTCCATCCTCCGCACTTTTGAATTTGTTCAATTTCAAATGGTCGGAATCCAGCACGACGGAATAAAATCCGGATAAAACGGCCGACTTCTCTTCAACCACCTTGCTGGCTTTAGCAGCCATTCTGTAGTCGGATAGCTAATTTAACATTCTCACCATGGATGAAGTCTGTCTTTGTAACCACTCCCCGGTCTTGACCACCCGTGCCAAATAGCTGGTTGGGAGATTCTCGTAAAAACATAGGACAGCTGTCTTCGCAAGGTCCAAGCTAATCATTATTTTCTTAAACTCTGAAACGAGGTCAAATATCTTCATCGATTTCTCATCCACCTCTTTCATCAACGCGGTCTCACCATAGTCAACTAGACTAGCTAGATGTGCTACGATCGAGCCCCATTTCTGTGATTGCGATCCCTGGTGGGGGGTTCCAAGAAGGACGACACCGCCAATGAGCTTGACAAGATATTCATACCTACTGCCGACCGATTGTGCTTAGACAACTGCTTGTTCGATCACCAGCCCGCCGAAGGAATGGCCAATAAAGATGATTGGTCGATCTGACGAAGCGAGTTTCTGTAAGTGCTAAAATCAGTATGGACAAGCAATCTCCTCCAACGGCTAGACGAACCCTGTTTCTCATATCGTCTAACAGCCTTGTTGCAACGCTTTCCAACCGGTTGCGACTGAGCTGCGGTCCCAGCCACGCAGACTGATAATTGAAACAAAAGATGCGAGCACTAATGCTAGGCTGAAAATCACGAAATGTCTTCGGCAGCAGATCCGTGAGCCATCGCACATCTTTATCCTGTCCATAGTGTATGTCTTTATGCCGCACCCAAGCGTGATCAGGATTCGCGCCAAGCCCGTGTACGGCGATAATGCTGGATTGCACACATGAGCAAGACAAGCGGTGCTGCCTGACGAGAAGATCACTGACTCCACAGCTACCCCCTCTTGTCTGGCTTCGCTAGTGGTATCGGCAATAAGGTGCAAGCCCCATGGCTGTGAGCGGTGTCAGTACAGTGTTGTTCTGTCATGAGGCTTAAATACCGTACTCACCGCCTCTGGAGCTTTGCCGTGCGCATTTTGTTGCAGCCCCGCCATCGCGGTCTGATTCAGTAGTCTGACCAGTCCTTCTTTAGCCTGCCCACTGTTGACTATATATAGCAGCTAGAATACAGAGCTAGACTGCGCTTCTAAAGCTATAAGAAGTATGAGAACGTTTATTCGGTTGAGCCGGCAAGGATAAAGGATAGATTGCTGCCTCAGGCTAATAGTTAAGATACCTACCTTAAAGTACCCCACTACACCACCTTTCAACTGTGCGGGTATGGGATGATGCTAACCACTTTGAGACTAAACCAAAAACCAGAGATATCCGAAGAGTCTTGGCATGTTGCAGGACTTTTGATATCAACCTCCGTATGTCAGCCGTTCCGTATTTGATCTTGGTAGGTACTTTATCGACCGGTGACGAGCATCATAAGCTTATTACGTGGCGAGCGCATCTCCTCGTCAACCAGCTCCTCGTCAACCAGCTATCGCTGATACTGGTGCTGATGCTGGTGCTGATGAGAGTCCTACCACAGCTCTCCTACGTGTTGCTGCTGCTGAAATGGCAGGGGATGAAGAGAGCGATCCGACGACTCCAACGCCTCGTGTATCACAGCGACAGCGACAGCCACAGCTTCCTCCCTACAAAGGCAAGACACCTCGGAGATCCAAGGAGGCTAGACTTCCCAAGCACCGCAAGGACCTTGGTGGTGGTGCATTGACGCTCCCACTTGACGATCCCCGCCGTCGCAATCCCTCCGATCAGTATGGCCTTGAGTTTCATGAGGCTATCAGACCTAATGGTAATGAGTGGGGAGGCGGCCGTGAGAGGCTCTGGGAATGGTCTCAATAGCGAAATACGCTCTATAAGAGGAGAGATGATGCTGAGGCGAGAGTAGCTGCTCGCAAGCAGCGTAAACAAGATGAGTGGAATGCTGAGATAGCGGAGCATGGTGAGGAGGAGGCCAGAGCTCGTCGAGACCTAGAACGAGAGGCTGCAAAGGCTGCAGACGATCTGATGACGAGTGAGATCGCTGAGATGGATCTGGAGGACCAGCTGGCCAACCCTATGCTGACGATCAACGCCTTCCTTTCCCTTATCCCGAATGTGCGGCAGTCACGCTTGATAGCGTAATGCATTTTAAGAATCATGCAGCGACCGTTCACGGAGTCTACATGTCTGACAAAATTAGGATACCTGGTGGAGTTTTAGGCTGATTGTTGTTTGCCTGGCCTCACGGATTCATTGTATCTACTAGAGCAACTGTTCTACGTTTTTTTAATCTCGAAACTTTGACCACTTGAAAAGCTCTAGCACTGGAAGAATGGGGGAAACCCTATAGTTCCCTAGGTTCATCTCCACAAGGCTACACTTTGAGATAGTGTATTAACTCGAAGGATATATATTCTTCGAGGGTATGCTTTTTAATGTATATTACTATATTATCTAGAGTAATAAGATAATACTAAACTTCTAAACGTATTAAACTTCCTAATATTGTATATTCTAATTCTATAATAGTATTTGGATTTGTGTTTAAGTTGTGTAGCCTTCGAGTTTATAGACATTTTAGCTTGCATACCCTCGAATTTAATATAATCTTCGAGTTAATACACTATCTCAGAATGTATAGACGTCTAGAGATAAACCTAGGGAATCCGAGGGTATCTCTACTCTCCCGGTGCCGGAATCGGAGCGCAAGGAACGGGGCCAAAATTGGAACTTTGTTTTGGGGGGAGAGTTCCAAAAATGGAGTACAGAAGTGCGAGGAAGACGAGAAAAAGTGATCCAAAAGTGGAGCAGGAAGTTCAGAGATATACTAGTGCTCGTCTTTGATATGTTCCCTCGCCCGTTCAGCTGTCGCCCGATGACAGCATATGGATAAATGACGATATTATCGAATTTGACGACGGGCTTGCATCCATCTTGCCCTGACCAGGATAGAGAGCAGCCAAGTTATTAATGGTGTCGAGTGTGGATGTATGCTCAGGGCCCCATGGTTTCTCGTGTCCCTCCAGTGCCCGCTGATACATCCTCTCCGCCTCAGCCATCTTGACCCGTACTCGGGTTCCATGGTCTGACTGTTTCATCATGTGACGCAGAAGCGAGCAGCGAGCCGTCCTGGGAGAATGCCACCGCGTTCACCGAACCAGTGTGTCCCTCGAGCTTCTGCAGCTCCGGACTCCACAGTGTTGGAGTGATCGGACACCTCGGTATCCATGCGGAAATCCGGCTACAGACATTTCTCACTACACTGGTCTGCGGTGCGAAAAGCATCGCCGACGAATGAATCTCTTTCTTGACGCTAGTCCAAAATTGTTTCGCCGGGGCGTTCGAGAACGGGTGGACGAAGTTAGGGGTACCCATTCTGAGGTCTCGCATTAGCTCTCTCCTCAGCGCATCATCGACCTGCCTCCTGTGCTCCGATGTGTCTGCGAAGCTTCCTATGTTAAAAAACTAAGGCGTCTGCTGGAACGAGGATGTAAATGATGAGTGAGATTTGGGAGGGGTTGTAGGTTGTGATATGGGTTCTGTGCGCGCGACAAGGTCGAATACAGTTGTCCATGTGTCCATATCTTCTGCCTTTGTTGAAACCAGCTTCATGCCGTTCACACGTGAGTGAAGGCCAAGGAGCTTGTTATGGGAAGTCTTGATGCTGTAGCTTCTTCATATACAAGCTGATAAAGCCCATGTTTTGTGCTCTGCTGAGTCCCGTTATTTCCTTAAATTACAGCTCCATGTATCATATATAGACCGCTTGTTCACTTCCTGGCTGCCTAGCCTCAACAGGCACTGATTAAGCGTTGCGACTTAGTAGGAAATTGAGATGAGGTAGGGCGTAGGGTTGAGTAGGGTGGGTGGCTTGACCGATGCGAAGGGTTTCGAGATTAATATAACGTATCTGCAATCAAGAAGCACTATCTGTCAGCAGACGCGCGGCCGAGCTTACAATCTTCTATGTAGGGACAAAATCTGACGGAGGAGGGTGAGGAATGAAGGCTCGATGAAAACTGATCTCATCACTCACAAAGATGTTGCCAGAGTTCAAGGTTCTTCGTGGGCGTTGTGTAAGACGTTGACGATAGGCATCTTGACTGGCTTCGAAAATCTTCAATGTCGGTAGTATGAGAGACTTCTTTGAAGCGGAAAGCCTCCGCTGTGTCGAGGCGAAAAAAGTGAGCAGTGTCCGAATCGAAAATAGGCCAGAGTCCCTTTTTTTCGCCCCTGTGGAGCGGTGAGCTTGTCACCCTGCTGATGATGCTGAAATTGTCTCAAGAAGACATCAGGTCAAAGGCTCATGGCAGGTGATATGAGCACGCTGGCTCGCCAGTGGAAAAAGGGTCTGCACACTCCAAGTCTGCGAATCTATCACAAATTATCAACGAGAGGTCTTACTAAGAACCTTTCGCTTTGTAATATAAAGATCATAGGCACACGTAACAACTTTCATCGGAAGTACTAGCTTGTAAAGAGGTATATACTTAGCTCCGTAATTTAACAATAGCCTTATTTGTATCTACAGATAATCTCTATATAATTTTACAATACACCAGATAAGTAAAACAGCTTATGTAAATAGCAGAACTAATCCATCTACTACTAAGTATGTTGTACTCGTGCTATCCAGAAGTGAGTTATAACGCTAATATAGCGCCCGGCTATCAACCAATCAGATAGTTTGATCTCCCTCAAAATTGCTCTAAAACACACCTTATCCCAACGCCAACTTTTAGCGTCGTAACTCACTTCTGGATGATACGAGACAGTCAGTTATCGCTAGAGTCGATCTGCGGCTTCCTAGAAAATTCGCTTGGCATTACGGCTCATTCCCCCGCATTCTCCGTCTTCATGCAGAAAGCTGTAGAATTCTTGGGCAAAGGTTACCACATCTGTTCAGCAGCGATGCAGCAACTACGAATACTATTTATGATTCCGCAGCCCAATCTTTCCAAGCGTCTGAGTATATCACTTAGCTCGATTTCGGCTGCGAATAAGCAAAACCTGCACCGCAGAAGCGTACCGGACGTACCGGACGTAGATGGTCAAGTTGACCGCTGAAGCAGCCAGTTGTAGGTTAAGCCATATCAGATTACTTCCATACCTTGGTAGGAACTGACAAAGAAGGCTTTGGATAATCCAAACACTTAGGAATCCAATGCCATTATGAGCATCATAACGTCCAGAGGCACATCTCACAAGAGTCCGATGGAGGCGATCACTCTTTTATACATGCTAAACGAATGTCCGGAAAGTCCAAAAGACAATCAGCAGTCACAATCACTTTCAGTACTATCAAGCATATGCCAACTACCCTTCCAGCGTGAAAAGCAGACCTTAATACTATATACGCCCGCGGGAAGAAGAGAGGAACCGGAAAAGGACAGAGCAGGGGAAAGGAGCGGGTTGGGGAAATTAAGAGGAGGGATGGGAAGTTCGACGCTACGTACTTGGTCAAGAGATATGAGAACATGGTGTGGATGGAGGGAGTCAAGGTGGAGAAGGTGGCTATTTTTGAGATGGGGGCTAAGGAAGTGGATGTGGTGGAGGAGAGAGCGAGAGTCGGGGAGGAATTTGAGGGACAGCGAATAGTGCAACAGGAGTATAAAGAAATCGCGAGCGTGGGGTTACCGGACTAGAGTATCATATGGAGGCCGGCTGGTTTAGTTGTTTGGTTGTATATATGACGGGGTAGGGGGTGAAGAGGAGGGCGAGAGGGCGGGAAAAGGGGAGGAGGGGGAGAAATTAGTGGTGCAGGAGTACAAAGAAATCGCGAGCGTGGAATCACCGGACTATACATAGAGCTATGCTTGTTTTGGTTGTATGGTAAAGGGTTGGATGGAAATTACAGCTCTCAGGTGCCCAAGGCTTGGTCCACCGTGTCTTGCGAAGCGCTTGAGCTGTGCAAGGTCAATGTCTTCCTTGCCAGTCCGATCAGGCGGTGAAGGGGTAGCAGGCCACTCTGTTCTTCGATCAAACTCTCGGAGAGGAGTTAGCCACTGCCGTGACAAATTGTCCCAAAACCAGCTGGGTGTCCTGTGTCGTTGCTGCTTCTCGAGCTTTCGTCGTTTAGCGATGGGCGGTGAAGAGTCAGTCGTAGGCTCTGCTTGGACACACAGTTGTCGCTTTCGACTGCAGGGCATTGGAGTTGTCTCTAAAGGCAATGAATCTCAACACGAGAACGAGATGCAGATAGCGCGCGCTTCCGACGACCATGCTAGCGTGTAAGTCGTTTTGTATTGCGGGGTTGATAGCCAATCAACGGAATGGCTGCTGCCTAGAGAACACTAAACACATCTTGTAAAATGTTTCGGCTTTAGATTTACCTAAGGGTCTTTTGACCATATGCGGAGCTCTAATAGATAATCCATATATTATTCCGCTTTTTTCATATGGGCTATTTTGATTTGTTGTACATCTTTAATGTTTCGGCAACTCCTGCCCGCATTATTATTCCGCCGTTTCTGTACTCCATTTTTGGACCGTCCCTCGAGTTCCACGTTCCATTTTTGGAACCCCCCCCCAAAAGTTCCAATTTTGGCCCCGGTCCTTACGCTCCGATTCTGGCACTGGGAGAGTAGGGACACCCCCGGATTCCCTGGGTTCATCTCCGGAAGTCTGGGCTAGCAGGCTGGTCTCAATGGTTTCCTTGATGTTGATGTAGATGGTTTTCTACGGTCAATATCATTACTGAGGACATGAGCCGATTGGTCTAATATCATTCCCGGTACCCTTTGATCGCCCTCGGTTCGAGCTCGAAAGAAGACATACTTGGTGTGAACGCTTTATATCAAAAGGTGAAAAGTAATAAGCAAGAGAAAGCTCTGCCATAATTGTTGGAAAGGTCTTCGAATCTTGAAGTTGCTTTCTTACTGCAAGAAGTAGATATTAAACTAACAGCAACTTCCGCCGCATCATCAGAAATACCGAAGCCACGAGGACAGCCGCAGAACAAGACATGGGAATTGCTACACGAGCGGCTATCCACTTCGGATAATTTTGGTAGAAGGCCCACCAGTAAAGTACACTAAAGAGCAAATACTCGATAATGATTGCGCTGAAAACAGTCCAAAAATGAAGTACGTCTTTATGCAAGCTGCAGTCTAGTTTAGCGTATGCAGGTCCCACGGCGCTGGCATGACTATACTCTGATAAGAGGCAAAAATTTCAAGAGGATAAGAAAGACGGTCCCAATAGGACTACACTTACGCCACCACCATTTAAAGTAGTAGAGACTCACTTTCGGGAACATGCACCGCGTAAATAGGAGCTTTTAACGTTAGTATATGCATTGATAGATTCCTTTAATAGAAGATAAATCTCTGCGATTAATATATATGTAATAGAGAAGCGAAAAAGTAGGTTAACAGCGAGCCTAAACCGTTCTCCTAAACGAATCAATCAGCCGCGATAATATACGTGATATTCGAAATGGTCTTGGTTTACCGTCGTTAACCCCCCTTGAGGTATCTATCACCATCAGACTAACCAGAGCGGAGTCCAAAACGCATTTCAATATTAGAATCTATATCTGTGGTTGACGGAATAGCTCAGACTTCGAACGGAAACGGATAAGCTGCCAGCGTAGGAGAGCAAGTGATACAAGATCAGCGACGAGGACACAAATAAGAACGCTTAGATCAACGGTCCATTGACCGAAGAACACAGGCTGGATGATAGCGAAACCGACAAGCCTCTCTTGGATGCGGTGGATTTCGTGGAGCTGCTGCGTTGCCATTGGGTAACGGACACCAACACCTTCCCGCACGAACGACAAAGGGTTCAGCTGACAACGATCCTGCTGGTCGCGGCGTTCACTGGATCCCGACCCGGAGCCCTTCTCGGAATCATCTATCGCGACCTGAATTTGCTCGTCCAGCGCGATAAGGCTATGGGGGAAGTAGCCCTCACCTTATAGCTGAAGCTCACCTGAACCAAGTCTCGCAAGAAGCGTAAGAGATCGTAAGTGACGGCTAAGAAATCGAGTTCGTCAATCTGACCGGCATACAAAAAGACCTACACGTTCTTTATCGATACCAACCCTATATTTTGTATTATATCTTATATCATCAGTCTCGCCTACGACGATAATGTCTACCTCTTTCCGAATACAAATTTTAGGATAGTTCTAACGCTGGGCGTCTTAAAGGGATTAAACTGCCAATTAATCCCATGAAAAGAGGATATACTAGACGTATTATTGTTTCGTATGTCTATATAAACCGCTAGAGGCTATATTACCTCGGCCGACACGGCGCTCTTTTACGAAAAGTATTACGAGTGAATTAAACGATTAGAAGAAGAGATTAGCTTCGTATAGATCTTTACGATCTATTATCTTCGACGAGCGACAGAAAATACTATTAATAATAAGTCTTAAGGCTTTTAATTCTACGGAGCCTAGACTAATATAATTATTTACTAGATAATTTTAATTCTAATAAAGTCGTTTGTAATCTAGTTATAGATTATATTAACTCAGTTATCTTTCAGCGTAACTATCTATCCCGTATGATTCGATATAATATTTAAGTCGTATACGGCGATATAGCGCCTCGGACGGAGTTAATTTAAGCGGCCAATCGGATAAGTCGACGGATCGATCCTCGACGACTTAAAGAGCTCACCGAAGCGTAGAGTGTAAGTATCCGCCAGGAGGAAGAAATCTAGGAGCTTCGTCGCCGCCGAGATAAACTGTTCCAGCGTATTCGACACTAGTTTACGTTTATTTACCGTGCAGAAGGACAAGCCACCTACGATTAGTATAAGGAGGCCAAACGAGCCGTGGATCGAAAGATTAAAGCGCGAGAGCGGGAACTCATGAAGTCAATGATAGCCCCAATGTGGTGACGACTGCCTGGAGTGACAATTTCGCGAAACACGCATATAAGAACTCCTGGGATCAAAAGAATGTCACTGTTAGGTAGATTCATGGCCTACTTTTAGTTTTTACATGCGCTAACACATCCCAGCTATGGCGATGTATTCATGCAAGCGCTCTACAATGCTGCACGTTGCGCTGAGATTGGAAGTGCAGAATTTGCCAAGTGTGAGGCAGAAGAAGCCGCAAGATCTGAGACAAGAGACCCGGTATGGAGGTGACTGTCCATATATACGTAACCTATGGAGGCTCATAGGACGCCAAGGCGCAATCGTCTCTCACGGTCATATAATTTATGTACGAGTACTCTGATTTGTTTCGCAACAACCATCTATCTATGCTTCCTGATTATGTGTTCTCATATGGCATCATTCCAAATCTGATCGCGAATGTTATCCAACGAAACCTATATCTCATTGATGCAAAGTTATTGGATCATGTATGTGGTGTGTCCGTTCCTTCTGATCACTTGACCTTGAGAGTCCGTATTGCTTCATCCGCTGCTGCGGTCTCAACATCTATCTCGGTTGACGTAGTACTCCTTTCTGGTTGCCTCTTCCTTTGATACACCTTTACCATGTCATTTTCTAACGGTCATTTGGTGGGCTTGGCATTTGGAACGTTCTAGAGTGACTTTGAAACTGTTCCTATTTACATATTTGAGGGAGAGTGGAGGGCTGAAGGGTGATAGACTTGTAAGCGGATGACAAAGAGAGTGAAGAATAGAGAGTAGTAGTGGGTCGTAGTAGGGTAGCTCGCCAGAACAAAAATAAACTGCAGAGTGGCACAATTCTCAAGTTGGATAAATCTTCAACGATTCAGTATACGCTTATACTTTTGGTTAGGAATCTATAGACAAAGTCGATTAGAGTAACTTATAAACCAAGAGTTTTATGATTAAAGCATTTGTGGGCGAGTTATAAGTATTGGTAAAAAACTTATCCTACCATCTTTCGTGGGCCCTAAGTGCAGTTTATTTCGCGCACCGCGAGGCTAGTAGCTAGAATGGTTACCGAGGTTCGGCACGGAGTTTTATTAGACCGAAATTGAAGGCGCAATTGGGGTGGTGCAAAACTATACGCGATTGGCGGGAGAGATCAGCCACTAACGGCATTCTCTGACGCGTCCCCTCACATCCTGTCTTGTCCCGCTCTGTCCCACTGTTAACCTTGCCCTTTCGTTTCGGAATTATGACGAGGCACTCCTATGGCAGACCAAAGCTGAACGAATACGAATGCAATTCGGCGACGATGTGAAAAACTCTAAAGCCATGAGCCATTTAAACCTCGGCCGCGCTCTGTGGTATGCTGGAGACCGTGAAGATGCATGGGCACGGCTTAGCCAGGCCGTTGAAATCTTCTCCAGAACCGACAGCTGGTACCTGCTAGCGCAGTACGTACTGCTTGTACTGGGCCCAAGCGCGACAGGATCTCCAGTACTCATTTGTTCTTGGGCACGCTGTCACGTCTTGAGTCGGACCTTGTGTCCGCGAAAAGGAACTATCTGGTCGCTAAAGATTTGATGATTACAACTGGTCACGCTCAAACGCACTCAACGACCTCCGTAATATGGAGAGTATATATGCTACTAAATTAACGTCGTAAGATCATTACACTTGTTTGATGAAAAATGAGTCGTAAGCGTTGCAGTGCTTTGGCCTTCTAGTGAAGTTGGGATAGCGTATAATATATTGACGAAGAGGAACGCATTCATGGTACACGGATCGCTTCCCTCAATCAATTGGCTATTGGTGATCCGCCCTCGCGTCTAAGTTATCTCTCCATCATTGCACCAAAACTTGACGGACTTAATTGTTGCCACCATGTAGAGCCGGCCAATCTCCTTGACGTTTACCTATTACTGGTGAAGATTGAGCGCTGGATCCTCTGCACAGATAACGTTTGAATTCCTTCGTCGCGTGATTGATGTGCTCAATTTCTTGAAGACCTGTTTGAAAGGCCGGAGAATCATGAGGAAGAGCCGATCCCGCGTGCAGGATGCGAGGGCTGGCACAACCAAAGGAGCCCGTGATTCGAGGGAATAACATAAATGATTTTGAAGGTAGTTGGTCCACAGGTATCTCGCTGGGCGAAGTCGCCGCCATGGAGCCATTTGTCGCTACGTCATCAACAAAATCCCACTCCTGCCAATCACCGCTCGAAGGGTCGTAGTCGAAATCGACTCGACAGCCGTCCTTCCGAAGGGCACCCCAGAGCTTGATAGCTATACTTATGATCTCCGCAAGCTTACCACGTAGTCGCTGGTCGGTCGGGCTCCGTAAACTATAAAGTACGTTCAATATTTCATCCATAATGCTGTCCCGACTAGGTTTAGTAGAGATATTAGTTATTACTAAGGGACTATATAAACTAAGATAATTAAGTTTATCAACCGTTATTAACCGCCAGAATAACTCTTAACTCGAAGTCGCCGCTAAAATATTTGAGATAATATTAAGAATCAAATCCATTAACTATATTTCAGACTTACGTTCCACTATCGCTATAGATTTCGCGAAATATTATCGCCTTATAATGCGGATAGTTATCGTCGATAGAAAATTTTAGATAGCGTACGTCTATAGAGAGATCGCAATACGGCTTTCGATAGATAGAGGCGAATATTTGAAAATCTCACTGGTACTAAATAGCTTATTTCGAACTATATCGCTATTTAACTATAAATAATATCAATAACGCTATTATAGAGTATTTCTCGCTTATATTAGTTAATATATCGGCTATAAATCCTTAGATAGAAATCTAAACTTATAAATCGCTATATCTTAAATACGCTTTTATAGTTAACGAAAGCCCTCAATACTAAGAATGCGAATTAGTTATAACTTATAAAATGTAAATAAGATTAATAATTACTAGAATTCAGATGTCTACGATAATATTATAAAGGCGATATTTATCTAATATAGTTTCGCTTCTAGGCGTATAATATACGATTAAGAGCTTCTCTTATCGAGTTTTAAACTCTTCTTTTAATAATTTAAGTCCTTCTAGGCCTATGTATTTTTCTTCTTAAATTTCTTAATAGCGTTCTTTTAATCCATCTTTATCGATCTTTAGATCTTATATCTTCTTCTCGAGCTCTTCTCTTATTTACTTAACTTTAGTCTTAAACTTATTTAAAAATTCTTACTTTACTTCGTTAATCTTTATCTCCTTTTATCTTTTCATCTTTAATTATATTATCTTACATATATTATCTAGAATTACTTATTTCTATTTAAGCTTCTCTCTCTCGCGCTCGAACTAGCGGGCGCTAGCTTAATACACGTCGTTCTTATCTCGAAGTCTTATTATCTCTTAATTCTTTAGAAATATTAAGTCGTTTATTATAATATTAAGCGCGTCGATCTAGGTCTACTAGCGAATATCGAGTTTATAAATACTCTCGATATTACTAATCTCTTCGTAATAGCTATATACGAAATAAAGAATCTTAGATATCTAATATATAACAATTATGCCCGCGTCTATAGCCTCTAATAACAGATCCTTAAAGCTAGCGTTAAACGAAGTTCGGGAGATCTTTACTCTCCCCTTACCTTTTCCTATAAAATATATATTTCTATTCGTTTCGATTAAGTTCCTTAAGTCTTTTAATCCTATTTTAATAATAGTTAGTTTCTAGATAGTCAAAAGAGATTAAATTCGTAGTATAGATTCTCGCATATTAAATTAAAACGAAGGGATATATAAAGAACGATATAATAAGAGAAAGCTATAGCGAGATAGAAGGGGATATATACTCTTAAAATTCGACGAGACACTAATAAAACCAATATCTTACTTATAGAGAGAGCGCCGAAGACGATATGAGCGATAATCTTGCTTTTAAAAATATAATTACTTCGCTTCTTTAAAGACTTTAAGACGTAGAGTCTATCTATAAACTTTTCATCGAGGCTCGTTAAGAATATAAGGGAATATAGAAAGCGCTAGGGCATATACAAATATTAGTTGATTTCTCCTTTATTACGATTATAGCCGTTGAAAGAAGCTACGTAATATTTTGTCGCACTTTACGTAACAATACCGTCTATTAATAAAGCGTTAATAAATTATTAGAGATGTTACGTTAAACGTCGCGAGGTTTTTTTTAGACTACTATATACATGCTAACACTTTTATAATTCGCTAGAAATAATCTCATACATAACGTAGATCAAATCGTGAATAGCTACGCCGAGAATTTCGCGTATTATAGATCTACATTAAAGCTTAAAAGTAGGGCTGACGAAAAATAGTAACTAGTGGATAGAGCTAGTGGCTACATAAGAATACTCGGCACTCTAATTAAGCAACCATCGCTCACTAATGCTTTGTTTGCCGGTCGTTATAGCGTTTGCGTTGTTTTTTTTTATTTAATTTTCGAGTTTATTAATTTAGTAACTTCAAAAATTTTTTAAAATTTTAAAAATTTTTTTATAAATTTTTAGCTTTTGGGTATATTGTTTTTTATTTTTATATTTGTTTTGTTTTTGTACTTTTTTAATCTTTATTTGTTTATTTGGTTAGTTTACTGTGTTTATTCCGTCGTACGTTTTTGAACTTTTTTTTTTATTTGCTGTATTGTCTGGGTTAGATGGGGATTGGGTTTGAAGTTGTACGGTTTTTTTTTAATTTTGTTGAAGGAAGAAGACTAGCGAAGACTTCTTTCCGAGAAGTTTGATATTCAGCCCCATACATCAATACCTCGTGCGTCGACCATCTACCGTCTGATAGGCAGATTGACGGATCAGCCGCGAAATTTGCTGAAGAATGTTGATGCATTTTTGGCCGTGTTCAAAGCTTCGCACTTGCATCAATGATGCTGGAAGCTATGACTACATATATAATACCGCCGACTTGTAATCTTCATCGTTTAAGCTGAACCGCTCCACCTTGCGTGGTACAGCGGTACTTCATCAAAACCCTTGGCAGGATACGAAAAGGCCTCGGGTCCTGAGCATAAGCAGAGGAGTCGATCGATATTTCTGTCGACGTCTTCGGCTTCGGCGAGCAGTCGATCAAGCTCATTCTCGACTTCCAGTTCATACGGAGGAAGCCCGGGGTTCCCAACGCCACTCATGTCTACTGGAATACCCTTTTAGCGGCCAGGACGCTAGCAAGCGTATCAATATCACAGCCCAGTTTAATTTGCTGATCGAGTCGACAGGTTTCACAATGATCAGCCGTGCCAAGCATAGAGTGGATGCGTTGTGAGGTTGGGAAAATGATGAAGTGATCCGTAAGTGTTATACATGGTAGGATGCATGCATCTCCAGATAACACAAGTACCCCACCCACAGCCCGATTGGCCGACTGGTCACGCGGAAAACCTGACCCAATTATAGCATGTTTTGTGTGTCACTTCCCACCACATCCGAAACTGCATAACCCTCCCTACGGTCGCCGTACTGGCGACGAGTCTGGCTCTCAAAACATTGCCACAAATCTAAAGCGAGATTGCTGCTAACACCACAAAAATGGCGATCATCAAACTTGCTAGGATTGTTTCGCTTGCTGGAGCAAAGAGGGAAATATAAAGTCTAGTCTCTTCATATATCTGTCACTCCTGTCGGAGAGTCCTTTGCAGCAAGGCTGGCATGCGAGCTATTCCTTCTAGTTCGGCGATCGGCCTTTGAGATTCCAATTCCAATGCGCGCTCTGACGTCTCCATCTCCAGAATATGTGGCCCGGGTGCTTCGGCGCCTAATTCCGGGACACGTGGGTTTGCCTCGGCCTCTACAATCGGTAACGAGTCGAGCATGGGGTTTGGCCCGTCACTCCAACTCGAATATCTTGCCGACCGTGTGATTGGTGGTGATGCCGCCCCTTTGAATACCGGTAGTATGTCCTTGAGTAATTTGGATCCTCGTTTATGGGTGCTTTTGCGCTTACGCAATTGTGCGAACTTTGCGAATAAGAACGTTAATATAGGGCCGAGAGAAGGTAAGCATGCTAGTGGTCAAAGTTAATGTCCATTTCCAGTCTATTTCGTTCATGCTGTGTGATGGAATTAGTGGGCTGATTGTGTACTCACCACAAATTATCGAAGTGTTGATCTCGATATTTGTTAAGAGAAAAGGAGGGTTGTAGGTATTATCATTAACAGAATCGGCAAAGAACAGCCCCAAGCGGACCCCAGACATGACCGTCACACTGGATGAGGATTCTTTGTCAGTAAGGAAAAATAAATATACACTCTAGAGCAGGCAATGCTTTTATATTAGGGAACTTACAAACCACCCAAAGCAAATACCATGGTCAACATGGCCTTTTGTGATCTATGCATCTGAAGTTTCCAGACTAGTGGCATCGGGAAGATCAAAAGCATGGCGTCGGTCACGATATGTGGTATCGCTATATATTGAGGAATGGGAAATCCTGGGTCTTCCCCATTGCATTTCAGGGGTACAGGCCCGCTGCTGTAGTCCCATTCCCAGAAAGAATTGATAGGAGAACATTGGAAGATCGTTATGAACAGCTAGACTTTTTGTTAGAGTCCGCGACCATCGTCTCGATCGAAACACCAGCCATCAGATCAAAAAGAGTAAACTTACCACTGCAATTCCCCAACACATTACAACTACTGCAATCGTCCAGATGGCCAATCGGGTTAAGCGACTATTACAACTAAAAAGACGCCAGTAGAAAGCTAATATGGAGCATTTGACGATCCAGAGAACGACTACCCAAAAAATTTGGGAGATGAAGAACCCCAGGAGGGCGTCATTCTGGAAATGATTAACACCGAGAGACGAACCGTCACTCATCCATTTCCGTTGAGCTATCGTGCTATTTACCACTATCGAGTAGTAAATAGCGGTAAGCATCAAACAACTGACCGCACGACTTTCCGTACAGTTGAAGGAACTTACTCCAGGTTGCTGAAATAAAGCATAGTGCAGTGGCGACGACCTGGTAGACATATGAGCTTGGACTATCCTCTTGGACCCAAAGAGTAGCCGCTTATATAATCATATGACGGATACTCACAGCAGCAGGTATCACAAGCCAATCGTCGTACCAGAGCCCCGCCTTGGAGAGGCGTCGAGCAAGGAATCGAAGACAAACAGCAATAAGCGCTATCAGCCAGGTAGCTATGATACTACCCCCCAGGCTTCTAAGCTCGTCGCTGGGATCGCTTGAATCAGAAGATTGTTGCATCTCTACTGGAGCCCGTGGTGCCTGACTTCATACAGCTCCGGCTAGTGTAGACTATTTCCGAAGGAAAAGTTGGAAAGACCAGGTCGAGGGGGACAGATAAAAGTTTCCATGTGCAAGGCTGCGTATTTGGGGCTCAGGCGGAGGCAGCATGTTAAGTATCCTCGCTGCGTATGCCGAAGCGCAGCGCCGACTCGTGAGACTCGTAAGCAAAGCATCCCTCGTAAGCAGTCGTCGGACCCGCTTCATGCATAGTATGACACTATTACTGAAGACACCGTCCTGAAAGTCAGGTACGGCCTTTTTGGGGAGTTGCTCTTGTTCGGAATAGCACAATGCCATGGTATTGTGGATGAGCGATTGTTCGGAGGGGTGTGGTCGTCAGAGAATGGTATGAATGCGTGTTCGAGTTGCTGGGTGGGCGTTTGATATCATGGCGCTGATCCTTGGTGGGAGGATTGGATGATGACTGAGAATGTTCTGCCGATCTTCATTGCCGGCGCGCTAACTACTTTAGGTAAAGTCTGAATCTATGACGTATCATCTTAGTGAGATTTCGAATCAGCATCTTCACCGGCTCACAGCATCCTTCATCCTTTTCAAAAACCGCTCTCTCCAAACAAGTCAACATGTCTTGCTGCATTCCGTTTTTGACTCTTGTCTTTGAGTTCCACAACAAAGATTATCATTCATTACCATGGGTTATTTGCTACAGACTTTTTCGTCCGTGACCTGATATACTCGTATATCATAAAGCACCGTCACGCAATCTAGACGATCGTTTTTCCTACATACGAAATATAAGCCATTTTCATCAAATCATAAACGTCGCAATGTCACTACTGCTTCCCACCCAATCGATCCCTTTGACCCATGCCACAGCCTCGCTAACTACTCCCTGAGCATTCTCCCTCCCACAGCCCCTTCAATTCTTTCGTAAAGCGGAATGTGAGCTGAATGAGCGGCACGCAGCAATGCGCCGCATATCATCAGCTGATTCGTTGTCAGCTCATATTCATTTGGAGTAGGGGTAATCGTTCGAGTGCTTATTCCATGTGGCCCTCAGCAGCTTAGCGGCACGGTATAACAAACATCACCTCACCGCATTCACCGCATTCACCCACCACGACCACAGCCCCTCTGGCACAGGAGTCTGTCACTTTTTCCCACCCCCTCCTTCCCACCGCGCTGGGATGTAAATGTAAATGTACACTTGGTGGAAATGATAAAATCTTTGTTTTATTTGTTTTTGTTTTTGGTTGAGGTGAGATGAGGTGAGGGAGAGGGAGGGGAAGTACGAGCCCTCGCTCGTTTTTTCGGGAGCGCTGAATCGCCCACCCACCACCCACCCACCCCCGTCTCTTCCCCACCCAGACCCAGAAACCTCAATCTCTTCGTATCTCCTCTTCTCCCCCTCTCTTCTCCATCATCCCTCTCCCGACACCCACACCTCTGATCAAAATACGTATGACGAGAACCTGTAACCGCGAGAGTGTGTGTGAAATGGTACTCACTAATCAACTCCCCCCTAGCCCTAACCTAATTAAGGCGATGAGGATTGGTATGTGCTGATGGGATATATTGGGGGTGGAAGATGGGGGTGGGATTGGAAATGAGTGACACTGCGCTCGCTGCGCTAGCTCGCGGTGCTGGTGCGAGTAGTCGATGGAGATGTAGATGGAGATGGAGATATTCCATATCGTTATAAGGTATATGTTATATGTGCCCCTGTGATATGAGGAGATGTGGTTACATTATGTCATGGTATGGTTTTGGGAGGTATAGGGATAGGAGAAGGGAGGTGGAGACTGAGCTTGGGAATGGGGTGAGAAGGGGCGGGGATGATGCGAATTGTAGCCTTACGCAGTTGCTGTTTGCCTTCTTATCATTCCAGAACGTGGAGAAAGGGTAGCCGGAGCACGCAGGAATGGTTTCTGTCTCTGTCTGGGAAAGCTGTGTAGATAAAGTGGACCATCAGGTTGAAAGGACAGTATGACGGTGGAGCCCCAATTGCATTCCTATCTGCACACCCTCCTTCAACTCCAGTCGCATACAATCCAAAGCCAACACCCTGCGGTGGCATCGGAGGAGAGCCACTACCCACGCAATGGCAGAACCAGGCCCAGAGCGCGAAGTGTTTTAACGGTGGGAACATGTGGATCTATGTGCAGAGTTACGGGGATAACTGTCCACTTTTCTCATTTTTCTGCTTCTGCCCATCCTACTTCTTCCCTTTACTGCTTCTTCCCCCATTCAACCACAGCATAGACACATCAAGATGCTACAGGACCTTTAATATATTATTGAGCGTTATTGTTCGGTCAAAAAGAATTCCTGACAACCAGCCTACTCCGAGGATGCTCCATTAGCCACAGGTTATACAATTAGGTTGATGAGATAGAATCCACAAAGCTGGCGCGCCTTATAGGTCGCCTTAACGCTTTTATCAAAGCGGGGTTAAGAAACTTTAGAGGTTTAACCCTTACTTTAATCTCGATAGCTTCCTCTATAAACTACTAAGTAGATAAATTAATAATTACGCGAATTAAGAGAATTATATTTTATATATCGCGTAGATATTCTCGAATAAGATACGAGATCCGCTATCTCTTTAAATATAGACTTTAAGTTTTTATAGTAAGAGAAATCTAGCGTTATAGAAGAGTAATAAGAGAAGAACTACTAGACAAGAGTAGCTGGGTTCTTATTATGGAAATTAGTACGTATACTAGTTCGCTTTAAGTCTTTAAGTCTTAATATGAAAGTATAAGACTTTAGAAAGAGTTTTAATAGAGTTACACCCATTTTTTATATAGTTATATCTCTCTCTTTACTAGATAAATATAGGCTAATAATACGAGTATATCTTCTAGCGCTAAAAAACCTCTTATGATAGTACGCTATACTCTCGACTTTAATAATACTTTCGACTATAATAATACTTTATATATTATATATATCGTACTCTTAGTTATAATAATACTTTCTATAATAATAATATAATGATAATACGCTATATAATAATAATGCTATCGACTAGAGTAATACTATTAATACGTAAACTATAGACTCTAAAGTTAATTCCCGAGAGTAGATTTCGAAGACTCTCGAGCTCTAACTTACGCTTCGGGGCTAAAAATTACTTTAACTTACGTCTCGACGCGTAAAATAACGTATAATATACTGGAGCTAGAATATCGTTTAATATGCGGCGAAAGTTAATAGAAGTATTCTAGAATCTATTTATATCGTATAACTTAATCTAAGTTATAAATAAATTCTAACGTTAAAATAACTTTAAGATGAAATCCTCTAGTTCGAGATTATACTTTATTATAATTTGATAGTAATAATACTAATATATAGCCGCGAATTTGGCTAATGAAAATTCCTTAAATAGATTCTAATCTAAGTTCGAGCTTGAAAGGCTATACTTAAGTAAGTAAGTTAGATAAATCTATATAATTTTAATATATATTATAACGCTAATTAAGCTAAATATTGCAGCCTTCTAATATCGAATATATTTAGATTTCAAATATTTCTAAATAGAGAAATAAGTAATTCGAACGGTTAATATTAATTCTTCTTTATAATAAGTCTTAGTAGTGTAGTCGATACCAAGATCGATATCGATAAAGTCTATACATATCTCGCGAATATCGTTAAAATCCTATAACCGACGTTTACGATTTAGTTCTATAGAGATATTAATTTCAATAGCGACGTCGTCGATAATCTCTTATACTATTAATAGCCTTAAAATAAAGTAAAGTAATATCAAGATTCGCTAAGCGTCTTTAATTAAAGAATAGTTAATATTACGTAATATTCGCTTATATATCTTATTTAGTAATTAAGATAGTAAATCGAATAGATGATTAAGATAATCTTTACTACGAGAATATAACTATAAAGATTTAAATTAACATTTAACTCATCGAAATCTATAGAATAATTAGTCGAGATTCTTTAACGCTAATACTATATTATCGTTATTTACTTATACGCCCTTAATACGTTTAATTAATATATCTTAAATCTTATTATAATATAGTAATAATTTTCGAAGTCTTCGATCTATATTAAATCGACCAGATATAAAATCGATAATATTCTTATCTATCTCTATATTTTATATTATAACTTATTAATTAGCAGAAATATCGAGAGAATCGCGAATATCCGACTTATCCCTACTTGTAAAGAAGAGATATAGATCTTATACGCCTTAGTTTCGCATTAACTCTAATATATTAAGCATATACTCTCGTAGTTTATTTCGAGGGCTCTCGTTAAGCGCGTTTAATATAATATATATCTAATAAAATCTTTAAATTAGGCGATAGAGATACTTTATAAGCATTAACGATAGAGGTATATCGACTTTATATAACTTATATAGTCGAATAAGATCTATATAGTTATCTTAAAGCTAACTTAATAATTATAGTAGTAGTAACCGTAGTATAGTTAATATATTCTATTTCGACTTATCGTTAAAGATAAAATAAAAGAATATAATTCCGACGTTAAGGTTAGATCTTCGATATCGTAGAGCGAATTATATCGCTATTAAGTATAAGACTAACTTATTAGATTTCGTAAATTCGTTTAACTATATAATAAAGTTCTCCTCGATTAATTATCTTAAAAACTAAGAACTCTTAATAAGTTACGTCCTCGTATTAAAGTGTTTTTTTATATACGCTATATTATAGTCGATAGTAGCATTAGATACTTTTAGTTAGTTACGAAGATTAGATAATATTTAATCGACTCTAATTAAGTCTAAAAGAACTTTCACTTAAATAATATTATCTTAAACTCTCTAAGTATTCTTAAGCTATAATACGCTTAGTGTAGAGAATAGATTACCACGTATATCATTAATATCTTTATCGAGTTTCTATAGAGTACTTCGTCGAAAAGAATATATTACTCGATATTCTATAACTCTAATAGCAGCCTTAATTCCCTATAAGGGGATTTCGCTAAATTTCTAACACTCATCCTATAGTTCTTAAATGAATTCCTCGCAACTATTTATCGACATTATAAAAAGATGAAAAAAAAAACTCGATGCTCTCGATTAAGCTTTATTTCTCTACTTGAAAATAGCGATCTAATAATATCTTTCTAAGATATTAAAAGATTTCTAAAAGGCTATTAAGTCTCTCAATCATATAAATAAGCTTTAAGTCTCGATTTTCTTAGATATTATAGAAGTCGACTAATAACTATATAACTTAAATTCCTAGCGAGATTAACTCCGTTACGCTTACCGCGACGAAGAGCGAATTAATTATTAAAGTCAATCTCGGTCTTAATATTATTTAGGGTAATTATTTTCTAGAAGAATAATTAGTAAAGATAATAGATTAAAGAATCTAGATAATAGAAGTTCTCTTCATTCACGGTTTCGTAGAACGAGGGGAAATACTTTTATATCAAACAGTATATTAGCCTCGCCGTTAGTCTTATCGCTATTATATTCTATATAATAGCATTATTATCTTAAGGCTTTAATAGGCTAATATAACGTATATATAGGCTATACTATAGACATACAGCGGTAGTCGTAATTACTTAAGCTAAAGCAATTTATTTAGTACGAGATTCTACTATGGCGAGATCTCATCATCGAGCCCTCAATATATTAATAGTATTATAACTTCTTATTCTTAAGCAACTTCCTTACGCTTACGATATCTAGAGTCGAGGCGATAGGGGCCTTAGCGCCCGGGGTATTTCCGCTCTTGGTACAACATACTAAACACTTCGACGATACCGTACGGCCCTTCAAACGCTGTAAAACTCTGCAAGAGTGGCAAGAAGCAGAACTGTTGGTCAGGATCTTGCCCATGGAGAATTATATGTGGAGGTGCCACCACTCTCGCCTTAAGAAGCGAAAGCATTGTTGCGATTGAAACTGAAAGGATCTGCGAGCTCTTTCGACGTGTCGAGTACTACAGAAAGGCTTCTGGATGTCCTAGGATATATTCCGCTAGCCGTCACGCAGGCTACTGCCTTTATTATCCGCAATCGATGGACCCTTTAAGGCTATCTAGCAGCCCTTAAAAAAGATAAGTAAAACCTAATAGAATATCTAAGTCAGGAGCTTTAAGATCCTCGAAGACCGCGTGGTTTTCCTAATCCGGTCTTTCGAACATAAAAACTATCCTTCGACTCACATCCTCGCCTAAGAGCCTAAGGCGGCGAAGCTACTATTATTTATAGCGATACTTAATTTATAGCGGATCTTAGAGAAGCTATTACGACGGCTAACTGAGAGAGAGATGGACTTTCGGATGGCGATCGATACGCTTGACGGGTTCGCTTTAATCAGTCAAGAGATTAGGGAAGAGACATACGCGATTCACCCACTCGTGTAAGCATCAGTGCACTACTGGCTAGAGCAGAGCAGTGAGAAAGCGGACTACGCGGGCCAAGCTTTACAGCTGTTAGCGGAGGAGTTCCCGAACGGTGAGCATGAGCATAGAGAAACGTGTGAGCCTTTATTGGCGCATGCTCAAGCAGTATTGTGCCATAAATACACATCAGAAAATGAATTGAAAGAAAGTAAGAGGACTCTCCAGGTCTCCCTCACTTTGTGGATGGTCTGGCCGTGAGAGTACGCGTCAGGGAGTACTCCTACCGCGGGGAGTACGCGCAGGGGGAGTACTACCTACCACCGTTTTTGAAGCTACCGAGGGGAAGGGGGATACTCGCTGGGGAAGTACTGGCCGGGGGACTACTCCCCATAGGGCAGACCTCCAAAAACCGAGGGTTCGCTAGGAAGAGTACTCGCTGAGGGAGTACGCGCAGGGGGAGTACTCCCCGTCTCACGTTTTGGGCTACCGCGGGGAGTACTCCCCGCCTCAGTTCTTGGAGCTACCGAGGGGAGTACGCGCAAGGGGGAGTAATCGCTAGGGGAGTACTACCCACCACCATTTTTAGAGCTACCATAGGGAGTGCTCGCAGGGGGAGTACTACCCACCTCACTTTTTGGAGCCACCGTGGGGAGTATGCGCAAAGGGAGTGCTCGCAGGTGGAGTACTCACCGTACTCCCCAGCACCCCTCAATTTTTGGAAGGTTTACTAGTGGGGAGTACTCCGTATAATCCAAAAAGTGAGGGGGATGTTGGGAAGTACTCCCCTGGCGAGCACTGGCTTCTAGGGTACGGCTTTCACGGTACTGCCCTTCACGGTGCTACTTTCCCTAGTACTGGCTTTCAGTACTGGCTTCTACATTACTGGCTTCCCCAGCCTCACCACCCTCCACAATTATGACCGTTGGGCACTTGGCCTTTACGTCCAGTTTGCCTTTTCGATTCTGTATCTCATTTCTACATTCAGGGTGGGGCTAGGTTGCTGTCCTTCGAGAACAGGATTTCTCGTTGTCTGGTCGCATGGTAGAAGTTCCTTATTCTCGAACCTTCTTGCTGCGCCTTATCCTGCAGTAGTATCTACTTCTTGCTTCCCCCTTCTGGCTCCGCGCGTCCAATTACTGCTCCTAATTCCTAATTCGATTCCGCGACTCTGTCAACGTCCTCTTTCCAACTGTCAAGGAGTGTCCTCCGGACAATTGTTATCTGGAGACAGCTGTCTCCAGGAATACCTACGGTTTCTCGCCGGGCTTGTTACAAAGAGGCTCAGAGATGTATATTATTAGTCCGCGATGCGACGTGTGGCACTAAGACCAGTGCGGGCCGGACCTAGAAAATTACCTGCAGAACGAAAACTTCTGATTCTCTTTTACACGCAGAGCACAGCAAGATAGCGTTAGATAAGCACTCTTTCCCCTCTTTTCTCAATATGTCTGTCCACTTACAGGCTGTCTCAGTAATATAGTTTGTATGTTAAGTGGTGCTGTAGGAAGTCCTGCGTGAACTAGCGGCTTTATCAATGAGTAGTATCACAATCCCATTGGCTTTTGTACCGTCGGTTAGTAATCCTTGGAAGTGGTTACGTATTGAGGCGGAGTCAAGGCTTTATTGCTCCTGCTTAGCCTTTCATCGCACGTGACAGTAGTTTTCTACGTACACTCAAAAAACTACTGCCATGTAATCTGGCGCCCTTTAACTGAGGAGTGAATGGGCTACTATCTAGGAGTACTAGAGTCCCATTGGCTTTTATGTCCTTCGTCAGCAATCCTTCACATCCTCGCTCCTTCTCAGCCCCTCGACCCATATCACGGTAGTTTTCAGCGCTATGTACAAAAACCCACTGTCGTGTGACCTGGCACTCGTTACCTGAAAGGTTCCCCCTCTTGACTGCAATCATAAAGGATGAGTTAGATGCCGAAAGATCCGTCTTTACTACGTAATGCAGTCTGACTTCCTCACGCCGACCTCGTGTCTTAGGCATTGAGCGAAGTACTTCCTGTATCCACTAGGGAGGTGTGGGAGTTGGGTGGGAAGGGAGTTGTGTTTTGTAGACGTCATCATTTGAGCCGCTTCGAACCTTTTTTTTTTTTATGTTTTCAACGCTTAAAATAGTGAATCTGTACCTTGTAGAATGGTGAGCCGTCTATGGACTCGCGATAAGCCCAGATTCAGGGGATGGTTAGGACGTCTACTGACTGGATTTGAAGAGGGTTCCCTGGGTTCTCCCGCCAAGTTTCTGACCCTGCCATGACACTCTCCCCGGCCCCCTCCCTCACAAAGTGATATGTGCCAAGAAATGTAGATTCTGTGCCATTTGAGAGGCGAATACAGATCACAGTTCATCATCAGTATCATCCAACAACTCCATCTCCAATTCTCCTAGTGTCTTTGTAAGTGCCCCTTCTTCAACCACGATCTCAGCATCGGTCCTCCTCTTCAGCGCCTTCAGTAACCCAACGATCGCCTTTGTCCTCTTGTCCATCTCCCCATCTCCCAGCAGCATCTGAGACTCGAAGGTGCGCCAGCTTGGTTGATAGGTCAATCTGAAGTGCTTGATCATGGGTGCATTTGAGTCTTGTTCATTTGCTAAGAGCCTAAGGATACGCAATACTAGCTTTCCAGCGTGTGAGAAGTAGCTGCCGCCCCTGGTAGCGCCCCAAATCGCATGGCGCGAAGTCACCAAGTGTATTTTGCGCAGGCGTTGGAAGCAATGTGGGTAGATATAGCCTTGAGCCATAGATCCAAATAGCGCTTCGAATTCTAAGCTTCGATTTCGACTCCGCCGTGACAATTTGTTCGCACTCTCGACAGTCGCTTCAGTATCTTCGCGGAAAAGGCTGGGGGGGTCAACGAGTCTGTCAGGGTATGTGCCGAGCGTGCATTGCCTTACAACTGGCGTGGCAAGATGGATTCGGACACTAATGGTGTCGTAGAGGACTGAGATGGCCTCGGAGTATATTTGCTTGTTGACTCGGAGAATGGTGGGGTCGATGTTGAAGGAGGCTTCTCTGCCATGCCTATCATGGTAGAGTGTGTAAACGCGCGCAGGATCGGGGCTGAGGAGCTCCTTGTAGATCTTCGTACGTAGCTCAAGAGGGAGAGTGTGCAGTAGTGAGGCTTGAATATTGGAGCCCATGTTTCGCGGCTTGTTGACGGTAGTGGAATGAAGCAATGAGCAAACGTGGCAGCGGGGATATTCCCGAATGCTTGGCATCGCTGTAAGAAGGAAACGGCTGGCGTGCACTTATTTTACTTATTTATTATAGCTCCGTGAACGCAAACAGTTGAAGGTCCAAAATTGGAAAACTTTCTAGAATTGGATTCGTCCTGACTTATCAGAGAACCTTTTATAGGTGGCATTTCTCATTATTCTCGCATCAATATGTTGTAATGTTGATTATATCCTATTCAAAATGATCCATCTGGCTCAAGAAATCTGGGATCAAATTACGCAAGATTTACCTTCGTTTTCCGCTACTCAGATCTTTGGATTTAAAGGAAAATAGCGGAGCGTTAGTTAAATCTCATATAATCCGTAAGGCTAGGCTAGTAATGGTCTTGGACGAAATTTTAGCCAGTCGTCACGGAATACGCTTGGCATTTTCTCATCTCTAAGGGCAGCTAGCCTTCAAGTTCTGCGAGTTAACCAAGGCAAATACTTGTGCCTCAAGCTTGAAGGTATGGAGACTTCCGTATCTTATATCGTAGATTCAGCGGCTGCAGGCAGCGGATGATGAGCTCCGCTAGGGGGCCGCCATGCAGGCTTCGCACCTGGACGTCCGCCAGGAGGGTTCGCACTTTGGAAATACCAATGCTCTCCACAGTCAGATCTTCCAGGGCAATTTCTATGGGCTTACCATCAGTTAGACACCCACCAATACGGACAGAACACAAGCTGATAATGCTCAGATCCGACGGCTGCTGCCCAAGTCGCCCCTGGCTCGTATGAGGGCCATTACGCCAACTCGTCCCTCCGACCGGCCCTCAACTACGTCTCGCGACCACGACTTCACCAAAAGATCAAAGAACAGTTGCACGACCTCAAGGATGACGGGGTGGAAGACGTGCAGATCCTGGTAGTGCGGGGACTCGGTGGAGCGGGCAAGTCGCAGCTGGTGCTGAACTACATCCGCGAACATCGACAGGACTACACTGCTGTGTTCTGCATCGAAGCTGGATCGAAGGAGTCGATTGAACGCGACTATGTCCAAATCTACCGACTCCTCTACAGTCGCCAGATGGATGCAGGCCACGAGATGGTGAAGGTGGAAGATGCGGTGGCTGCGGTCAAGCGCTGGTTTCATGGCCGTGAGGGGCGATGGCTAGTGGTTCTAGACAGTGCGGACATCATCGACAACGATCGAGACAAATCTTACATCGACCTGGGATATTTTATCCCTGACGCGCCTGGAGTGCATGTTATTATCACCTCGCGGAGCTTAACAGCTAAGGAGATGACAACGCTGGACACGGTGGAAGTAGCGGATATGGAGCCACCGGAGGCGATAGAGCTGTTCCAAAGATGCGCGAAGATAAAGGAAAAGGGCCAAGACATCGCGACGGAAGTGGCTCAAATCGTCCAAGAGCTGGGATACTTAGCCTTGGCAATCACCCTGGCAGGTTCATACGTATCGGTGACGGCTCGCTTGTCGTCTGATATTAGGCGGTATCTCCTCGAGTACCGCGAGCGGCGAAAAGAACTACTTCGACGGCGGGCCAAGCGGCATATACATCAATACGGAGAAAGCGTTTTGAGCACATGGGAAGCATCATTCGAGGCGATTGAGAATCAGAATCCAGCCGCGGCCCGCTTGCTGAGTCTATTGGCGTTTGTGAACTTTGAGGATATCTTAGTCTCTTCGATGGGGACGGGGCCGGTGTCCTGGCGAGCGCTCCCAATCGTGGTGCGGAACCATCAGAGGCCACGACATCGTCTAATGAGACGTGGCAGTCGTTCCTCTTCTCTGAGCAGTAATGGACAGTATGTGAGCTTGAATCGGCGTTCGAGACGCTTCAAAGTTATTCTCCGATTCAGCGGAAACCGGATCAAAAGAGCTATACGATGCACAAGCTCGAATATGCATGGGGCCAAGACCGGTTGGAGGCGGACGGGAAACGGCAGCTGAGCAGCCTCGCCACGGAGCTTATGGCAGATGCCACCGCCGAGAATCAGATCGATCCTAGTTATCAACTCCGGCTGGTGCTGCATGTGACGGCTAGCTTTGGTATGTTTGTCCTCTGCATGAACCACTGGACGAGCTTGCGATGGGTCGACTCGCTGTGATCAATAAAATAGAAGGCTTCCTATTCAGGATAGGACGGTGGTCCGAGGCGATGCGAGTATTTCACTTGAGAAAAACAGAGAAGCTAGAGCAAGGAGCATCCTGACGAGCGATTACTGTCTTGCCTATTTGCTGCACCAAAAGAAACGGTACAAGCATGCGGAAATGTTTTACCATCGAGCATACTCTGGAAGTAGAAAGACACTCGGAGAGAAGGACCCGACTACTGCAGCATGCTTACGGTACTAATCAAATAGGAGTCTTTGTTTTGCGGATTCAAACGCATGCCCATTTCTTTTCCCATCACTATATTTCTGCCCATCCTACTTCTGCTTCATACTGCTTCTTCTCCTACTCAACTATAGCATAAATATATTAAGGTGCTATATGTGAGGGGGTAGTCCTTTGGCAGTCAGCTAGCGGACATAGGCTACAAAAGACGTAGTGTCGTTATGGGGTTTAATAGTATATTTGGTAATAGAACTAATCTCTAAGGAACACCAAAACTCCGGGGTATACGAAGTAGACCTATGTCCGCCAAGCCCCTAGATATACGAGGCACGTTATTAAAACTAAACCCTAAAAGGGACTCTAATATAATATATACGATATCGACGCTTTAGCGTAAGTAGCGTTAAGGTCTATAACGTATTAGGTCTAATAATTACCTCTTCTTCTAGGCCTTAATTTCTAGACACTTAAATAAAGATAGAATACTTATTAAAAAACCTTTAAACCTTAATAGAAAAATAAGAGAAAAGAGTTAATCTATTAAGATTATAATATTATTTTAATAATGCGATAGAACTAACTCTTACGCGTCGTAGGCGCGTTACTAATATATTATATAATAATATTAATACTACCTTTAAGAATAATATCGCTTTTATAATATTAATTAATAATAATTTATAGTAAGTTAACGCGTTTAGTATCGACGTTCTTATAGCGCTAGTTAATAGCCTCTATAGCGAATAATATTAGATTTAAGAATTTATAATAAATTCTCGAAAATCTAGTAAGTAAAAGGAGAGAGAAGAGTTTTTCTATAGGTAACGTTATTTCTATAGCGTATTATATCTATAGCGAAGCAACGTAGTAATAATCTTTATTATAGAGATTTGAAGGGAGTAATCGATAAAGCGACGCGTCCGCGATAACGCCCTCGATTATTAATTAATAATAATAGTAGAAATAATAACGATAGCTAGGCGACGCGGCTCTATAGATAATAGCGAAATATTACCGCGTCGCTGCTATTTATATTATTAGATATTATCTACTAGTAATAGCGCTACAATAGAGAATATAAAAACCTCTTTTAAATTATTTATTTTTATTCTTTATAACTTCTAATATCTCTCTTATAAGTACTTACTCTAGCGCTATAACGTCGATATTAATATTAATATAAGTATAATATATCTTATTATACTAGTAGTCTACTTCTCTTTATTATAAATATCTTATTATTATTAATCGCGTTAGTGCGTAAACTAATAATTTTATAATACTCTTTTTTAATAATAATAATAACTTTAATAGTAAGTATATAGTCGCTTTATAGGCGCGACTACTAACCCTTAACTATTCCTATTACTATCGCTTTATATACGTATCTACTAATAAGTTCTAGTATCTAATTTATTATATAGAACTTGCTTTTATCGAGGCGATAATTTATATATTTAAGATAAGTCTTTCTTTTATAATAACTGTAAGGCTAGAAGATATAGTATTAGTCGCTATATTAAAATCCCTCTATATCTTTAGACGTAAATAAGAAAATTAATATAACGTTATCGCCGCGCTAAATAGTTTTAAAAGCTATCTCGTCGATATACTAAGTTTAATAAAGAGATTATCTAATAATATAAGTTATAGAAGTATATAATAGCGATAACTTCGATTATCTCTACTATAATTATAGATCTTTAAGGCTAGCTCGTAACGATATATAAGTATATAGAGAAATTAAAGGGAATAAATAAGTTATTAGAGAAGAAGCTTAAAAGCCTTTATTAATATATGACGAACGTCGATAGATATTAATATGAAGATTATACTTTAATTATCTTCTCGTTAGAGAACTAAGTTAATAAACTCGATTTAAGATCTAACGCTGAGATAGTAGAGGATACTTAAGTAGCGATCTTTTTTTAGTAGTAGCGCTGACGTAAGGCTCTTAGATAATTCTTTAATAACTACTCTAGATAAAAATACGTCTATATTAATAGCACGTATTTTAATACGATAAACTCTCTTTATAGTAGAGCTTAGTAGATAGTTAAATAATATAATTATTTTATTAATCTATATCTTAATAGTAGTAAGTATAGAGGAGTACACGCGTAGTATAAGTATTATCTAGAAATATATCTAATCTAATTAATAATTATATCTTATTTTATTACCTTCGCTTACTCGCCGTTAATTTATATAATTAATTAAGCTTTTTAGTAATAAGAGACTTATTATTTATTACTTAGTACTTTCGCTTATTACTTATCTACTTATAAGCTTAAATTAGCTCGCTAGTATTAATAAGTTCGTTATCTAATAATTATTAATTATACTCTTTATCTTAATTAGTTTATTTAATTTTATATTAAACGCCTTTCTTATACTTAATCTTATTAATAATTTCTTTAATCTTTTAAAGCTTATTATTATTAATAAGATTAAGAGTCTATATAAAGACTTTTACTATATTATTATAATCGCGAAGATAATAAGACTTAAGTAACGATATATAAAAGATATTATAAATTCTATACGTTAAGAATAGAAGTAGACGATATATCTACGCTTCTATCTTATCTATAATCTAAAATAGTCTTATAAATTTATAAGATAACTTCTTATTTAGATATTTCTACTTTAGATTCTTAGTCGCTAGTATTATTAAATTACTTATCTTATAGCTTTAAAACTAATATATTTTATTATAGTATTTAAACTAAATCGTAACCGCGCTATAAAGACGCTTTATTATCTTATTCCTTAATATTTATAACTTCTTTACTCTATTATTTATAGCGAATATCTCCCTCTCGATAAAGTTATTCTTAATCTCTTAACGGATTTTAGAATAATATTCGTATATTAGAAAGAACGATATTATTTTGATAGAGGAATATTAATTATTTATATAAGCGAACTCTACTATTAATAGTTATTTCGCTTAAATATTTTACTTATTATTAGCGAATACGCGTAAGAAGTATTTTAGTATCTAATTTTATCGCTTAATCTATTTATTAATTTGCGAGTAAAAGACGATACTTAAGCGTCGTTTAATTTTAGAATAAAAGTAAATAGCGGACTAAAAGCTACTGATAAATATAGAGCCTCTATTATTAATAATATTATTTGATATACTATAGCGATATACTATTTCGAAATAAAATACTTCCGCTAGTTAAGCGATATCGATTATAATAAATATAGAAATATATCTTATTATTTTTGTAAATCGATTTATTATAATTAGAATAGTATCGTAGATAATACTCTTATATTTACTCGCTAATAAGTCGATAATAAAGTCTATAGAAATTTCCTTTTATAACTTAATAGCGATAGAAAGCGAGCTTAACTCGCTATATAGGCGATGTCGCGGAGCTTTAGTTCGCTAGTAAACATTATATATCTTAATATAATCGATAATTTACTTTAGGCTTTTATTTTAATAGTATTTACGAGTAAGTAGTTTATACGTCTTCGCAGCGCTAAAGTATCTTAATAACGAATTATTATAATATTTGCTAATGAGCTCTTCTCTTAAGATCTTATTTTTAGAGATATAAAGGTAATTATTATATCTTAATAGTTTCTCGAAGTCTAAGATTTATACTTAGCTATATGCGCGACGCTTAATCACTAGTTTATTAATATTAATTCGAAAAGAGCTTATCTAATCATTATAGATTTATAGATCTTAAATTAATATTTTTATTAGTCTTTAGAGTATATTATAAGTAGTCTCTTACACGATCTTAGACTTTCTTCTAGAAATAATTATTTAAATATCGATAATATAGAATATAAGCGCTATCGCCGCTATAACCTTCTTACTTCTTTATAACTACTCGCTATTAATTTAAAGTGCGAGTTTATTTTATAGTGTTAATAAAAGTTTAATATTTAACGACGAAGTTTTTTTATAGTTAAAACGTCGCGATAGTGGATCGATAGAGTTTAGTTTATCTATTTAATGAAAAATCTTAAAGTTATAAATAGCTAACTTTAGCGCTTAACGGGCTTATTTGAAATTTAGTTCCTTCTACTTTATAAAGTCTTTAAGGTTATTATAGTTTATTAGAATCTTAATATAATACGTATTACCTTCTAGATAATAACGTTATTACTTTATAAACGCTACGATAGCGAGTAGCTCTTAATTATAGATCTTATAGTTTTACTTTATAGAAATTATTTTTCTAGACTAGAATACTACTAGTCGCTAGTGATTATTCTTATTTAATTACGAAAGTATAATCTTTATATTAAAGTTAAAAGCGTCGATCTTAAGATATAGCTTCAAATTTAAATCGTAATAACGTAGAAATAATATAATTATAAAAGTACTTCGAAGCTATTAAAACGCTAGCTTAGCGCTATCTATTTACTTTAATAATTTAGATTTTTTATTATTTTTACTCCCTTTAAGTAAGTTAATAAGTAATATTACTATACTAAAATAGTTATAGATAAATTACTAATAGAAATTAGTAAAGTCTAAAAAGACTTATATATTTCGATAATTTTTTAGTTTTTAGTTACTTCTTAATAATAGCGATATATTTTTAATTTATTATAACACCTTTAATAGATATAATAAA